CTCGTTGGAACGAGCCTAGAGTCCTCCGGTGAGAATCGCCGACGCGTCACCCTGCAACGTCGCAGCAACGCCGCTCGATTTAAATGAACGTTTTAGACGCCCGTCTACAGCAACTGCATTACTCATGTCTGTGGCTGACCGCTCGGCGTTTCAGATAGATAGACACGTGCCGTCGGTAACTGTGATCTCGATCGAAGTCCCGTAGCTTGCAAATGTTAATTTAACGCGTGGGCTTTCGTCATCTTGCTCTATTTAAGACCAGAACTGTGAAGACGTCTTCACAATTCTGGCAAATCGCCTGATGAAGCTGGTCGCAATCACCAGAGTATTAAATGTTGTGAGCTTACTCGCGTTTTGTTCACGTGACAAACCTTACTAGTTGGCTGTGTCGGGTGGTAGCGGGTTAACGACACATTTATATTTACGCGATCTAACCCAAAACAACCCTTTATTTTTTTATCATGTTCTGATCATGTTTTGATCATGTTAACTAAACGATGCTTCACTTCCAACATTGACAGGTCATTAACAAAGCACGACTGTGGAAGATTACAAGATCCGTCGTTTCAGGCGAATGACCCTTGTCATCAGTGAATCCATATTTCAACTGGCACGTCGTTCTGTATGACACACTTGGGACCCCAACGGATAGCAGCGGCTGGCTTCTCTCGCTCTGTGTTGGCTTCAGCGTCACACTCCACGGAAGGCCGATCACACGGTTCAACGATTACGGAGGTCAATATATTTTAAGTGCTTTGCAGGAGACAACAGATCGATTTAGAACTAGGCGTGAAACCGATGCACGTTTTTGCGGTGTCCCGATGTGCGCGTTATCGATGGGTTTAAGTTACTGCACGAGTCTCGAATCGGCTATAGGGGTGGACCTATTAGATGTATCGCCTCCCTAGAACATCGTTGTAATTTACAACAGACACTCGTTCATGATCGCCGATACGTCTTGCGTGGAAAATTCGCATCCCCTTTGACGATCAATTGTCGTAGGTCGTGGCGAGGAAGGAGGCGGGGGGGGAGTTATTTGATCATACTTCACCACGTGGGTCACTGCAGGGTGATGTTGGATAGGCGGACCGGTTTCAGCTATCCCGACTCCTCCACTGATGTTCTTGGTTCTTTCGGTAAAGTCACGTAGAAGGGAAACAATAAAATAAAAAATATATAATAAAATAAAATAATTTTATTTATTATTTCCCTTCTACGTGACTTTACCGAAAGAACCAAGAATATGAATCCCTGCAGTCACGAAAGCTTTAAATCAAAATCCTCCACTGATGTTCGCCGTGCGTCGAAAATCGAACTCAGGTGGGGGCAGTGCGCGGATCACCGCGCCACCGCTCGCTTCGCATTTTGTTGGTTTCTGATTTCGAGTTCGTACCGCTAACCAGTGCGCCACCGCTCCCCCAACACACGTACACATATATTTCTTATTTTTAGCGGAACAAAGTCTGGAGAAGGCGTCCCACAAGTCTCCTCTTCCCCGGCTTAATGTTCACAATCTGCACGGCTCTTTTCACTGCGGCATTGTCCGTCTCGGGCTCCAGATTATTCCGCGGGGTCAATACGGGACCACACGCGGGAATGTTTACTTACGTTTACCCCCCCCCCCAAATACCCCCTCCCCCCCTCCCTCCTCCACGAGACAGCAGCCACCACCTAAGCGGGCACACACGATGCATATGCATGTTGAGCTTCTTTCGCGCCGTACGTGGCCAGACGTGAGAATCGGTGGTGCGATAACCGGGCGATTCGCCTCCTTGCCATACAAAATTTACGGAATTTATTTTTTCAAATATATATATAGAAAACGCATTCCCATCACTAGTCACTCGACCTTCCCGGAGCGGTGCACGAAGTCAGCAGCGTTTGGTTGAATACAATGAGCAGGCACACGCTGTGGCAGGGCTCACTTGAAGCAATGCTCGTGAACTGGCAGATGTTCGTAGGCAAGGGCCCACTCTGTTGGACGTGGGTCCTAGGTTCGACGCAAAGCGACAGTAAATACGCAACACGCAACAGCATCATTAGCGCGCTTGCGGCGAATTTAAAGGGGAAAATAAATTAGCAGAAAGTACCCCTCCTGCTATTGCGTAAAAGACATCGTTGGGATTTTTATTTTTATACGTGGAGAGAAAATACGGGAATAATGAGTTCATTGTTTCGTGTTTAACGACACAGCGATGTGTATGCCATAAAGTACTCAATGTTGCATGTTGTGTTCCCAGGACCATGCAGTTGAGATATGACTCGCCACCGATGTGAGCAGTGGCTGGGAATCGAAATCAGGTGGCGACGATCTCTACATCTGACGTCGGCCACCCCCTTCTTCTCTTCTCTTAAATAACCGGCGCTTGACCTATACGTGATGAAGAATGGTCAAATAACCCACAAGACCCGCACGGCGCGGATAGCCCCGCATCTCATCCAGCAGTGGATTGACTCGGCGTCTGCGCGTGTACATACGAGCACCAGACCTACCAGCACCGGCGTTTGCAATTGTTCAAATCCGTATTTGTTTATTTTACTTTGATAACAATATGTATATTTTGGAATTAAAATATACAAATTATTACAAAGTGTACAATGCACGTATCTTCAAGTCAGGCCATATTAAGAGGGGGTATGATAATAGTATTTCAACTTAATAGAAAAAAATTGTTTTAGAATACACACATAATATAATAGCGTCGCGAAGGGAAAATATGGAATTAAATTTGAACAGTGTAGAGATGTATGCTTGGAATTTTTATTGAAATACTGAAAAGAGCGTAAAACGCATGGTTAGAAAACACACGCTAAAAAAATGAATCATCATGTTATAAATATTTGTTTAAACATCAACACATTCATCAATTGCATTGCCTTAAAGATAAAAATATATATAACGTATCTATCTATGATATTAAGTGGGCTTGGGATTACGGATGATGATCTCAGAGTAATCACGGAGTGGACGGCCGATGTGATCGTCTACTCGAGAAGATGGATCGATGAAATCCATCTCGTGTGACCGTGCTGCGTGGAGGATTGTTGGGGAGGCCTTCATCCAGCAGTAGATTGATCATGGTGATGATGATCATGGCATCATTTCCTACGCACAGTCTCAAACCTCCATATACCATTTAGGTAAGGCATCATTTTGCGGTACATATTTGCAAGCAAATATCTCACATTTCAGTCATTAAAATGTATTCAAACAAATTATAACCTTTCACTGGTAGATAAAGACCTTCCCACGCTGCAGCGGTAATGGGGGTTGTGTATCCATACTTCACCACAGCTGGTGTGTTGCATATTTGTGATTTTGGTCAGGGACTAAGACCGCTTCAGCTATCTACCACTAGCCGGTGATCGAACACGGTCGGTTTTCATATCGCGATGTGATAATCAATTGCGCCAGTAATATATGCATTGGGCAGGGATGCTTCCCACGTGGAACGACTGCGCGCACCTCCGACGAGAGTACGGTTGGCTAGGTACGGCGCGAAAGAAATTCAACATACAGTACACACAAAGACAAGATTCCCTATATAGCCTTAACAGACTGTTGGGGCAAGTGCTGCTAGCGAGCACCTATGAAGGCCGGCACGGCACACGAGGGGTTGGCCAGCTACGACGCCCGGCCGCCTTTGCCTCCCCATTGGCGATGTTTGCACACCGCACCGGGTACTCATTGGAGGCTAAGTCGACCTAGAGGAGGACCACGAACCGACTCCGATAATCTTTACTGGTGTTGGCCGTGAGCGGGAAATCGAACTCGGGTCCCTGGGTTCAAAGCGCAATGCGGTACCGCTCCATACACAAGACACATGTCAATGCGGGAACAGTTGCTGGTTTTTGTTTTCAGTCGCTGTTTGTACTCTGCGTGCTGCCCTGCCTTTTGCGTTCTGCTCCTTGTTCCGTTGTGTTCGTGCCATCTGTCTCGAATGGATCGCGATTCACACGCTGTTTTGTTCTGCCTCTCGCTCTGTCTCGTTAAGTGATAGTGTTCGTTCGTTCTGTTTCTCGTTCGGTCTGTGTCGTTTGCAACGATTATTTTGTCTCGTCTCTGCTGTCACCTTTGTACCGTCTGTCTCGTTTTTGTCTAATTTTCACTGTTTATCTCGTTCGTTCTCGACCTGCGCTGTCTCGTTGTACGTATGTTGATCTGCCAGTCATCTCAGTCAGTCAACCCATGGCACCTGGGTCTGTTCCGTGACCTGTCAGCGAGCCTTCGACACTTCACGTGGCCTCAAAGTGCACCTGGCCTGGCACATGCTCCGCGGTGACGTGACTGTCACATCGTGGCGAATGTGGGTTATTGGTGTGAGATGATTTCGATGCATTGAGATTATTTAGACAATGTTGGTGCTATAAATATTCAAATGGTGGGCCACTTTGTTGAGCTATTATTTGTAGCTGTATAGCTAATCGGATTCCCCCTGTATAAATACATTTTCGGATTCTGAACTTCTTTCGCACAGTACGTAGCCAATAGTACGTAGCCAGAGTCGGAGGAGCGAGAAAAGGACAACAAACATTGGTGTATGGGGCCGTCCATAAATGACGTCACGCGATTTTGGACGATTTTTGACCCCCCCCCCCCCTTCGTCACACGGCGTCACAAAAAGTCAGACCCCCCCTCAAATATGACGTCACAAAGCTCTGGCGCCCCCCAAAAAATAAAACATGCTTCAAATCGCTTTAAACTATTGTCATTGCAGTGCGTATTTAATGTGGCGCTGCACTCTGATGTTGTAGGAGAAAACATTTATTAAAAAGTCTATTTAATTAGGTAGAACGTGTGCCGTGCCACGGCTGACTTCAATAAGCGCCGCTCGCTCACAGCACTTGCCCCAACAATCTGCCGAAGCTACACTGGGGGTGGGGGCATCTTCGTCTTTGCCATGTCCGTGGCGACGTCACCGCGCTGAGCGTGATGACGTCACCGCGCTGTGCGTGATGACGTCACCGCGCTGTGCGTGATGACGCCATCGCGTCGGGACGTCACCGCCGCTGCCTGTTGCTGTTACCGTGGCAACGGCCTCTTCCCCCACTTTGACCGCTCATCTCGCGAGTAGAAACAAAAATTAGTTTTTTGCAAATGGAATTAAATCCGAAGCTTGTTACCGAATGCGTGTGTTTTGTGACTCAAGGAGCGACTGATGAAGGCTCGCACGACGCCGACGGTGAGCGACTCGGGATTATAAAGACGCACCCTCACCACGCCGGAGCGGACAATTAAGGTGTCGAACGCCGTTTCGTCTGGATTATAAGACGTAATTCCCACCACCACCCCCCACTAATGTTGAGAAAATGTTGTAGGTGCTGTTGATGAGATGTGTCACTGGTGCGTCTTATAATCCGGTGCGCGCGCGCGTGCGTGTGACTAGATTTGTGTAAGGGGACGTCCATAAATGACGTCACGCACCTAGGGGGTGGGGGGGGGTCAGACATTTGTGACGAGGGGGGGGGGTGAGAAATATGACGTCACATCAAAATGCGCAACTTTAAATAAATATATAATTATTATAACAACACTAATTGTTATAAGAACACTCCTACAACATCAGAGTGCAGCGCCACATTAAATACGCACTGCAATGACAATAGTTTGAAGCGATTTGAAGCATGTTTTATTTTCAAAATGGAAATATGGTTTTGGGGGGGGGGGGGGCAGAGCTTTGTGACGTCATATTTGAGGGGGGTCTGACTTTTTGTGACGGGGGGGGTCAAAAACCGTCCAAAATCGCGTGACGTCATTTATGGACGGCCCCTAACTTCATTCAAGAACCTTGCAAAGATTAGGAGTGTGTCTTAGTATCCGGAGCGTCTTATAGAGTAATCATCATTTGAACTTGTATTCACTCTCGAGCAGAGAGAGAGAATCAGAATATGTATACTGGAGGAATCGATGAGCTATAAAGCTCTTTTTCAACACGTGTCCAGTAGGAGACTCAGAGGTGCGAGGAGCAATCAACAGACACGGGGCAAAAGCATCAGCCGGGCGGTGGAGCCGGTTCTAACAATTATTGTCAAATCTCCGTGGTCCTCTATACATGAAGACGTTTGCAGCTAATTAATCAGGGGCGGTTTCTTCATTAGGGCGATTGGGCGACGCACCACCAATGTCATTGAACCACAGAGTCACGCTAGCCGTCACTGTGCCTCTGGATATAGTCCAATCAGCATCATGTCACGTTCTGTGGAGTACCGCCTCTTTTTGGGCGATTTCACTCCGGCTGAGAATCGCCCCGAGTGGCCCCATAGACTTACATTCAAAGATGTTTTTTTTCGAACGGCGGGCGCTCCAATGCATTCTCTATGGCTTCCGGGAGGGCTCGCCCTAACGTGCTTACGTCATCATACGTAAGCACGTTTCATCCAACAATTTAATTTGTCGCCACCTAGTGGAATCTTTAATAAAAGAAACTTCAGTGGATTGTATTAATAGTGAGTATAGAAACAAACAAGATGTATTGTAAGAGTCACTTTATTTTTCATTAATATTAAAGAAGTGAAGTTGCCTTTACATGCTTAAGCTGTTAATTTATCCATTGCATGGGTGGACCTTATCCTTATCAATCATCCAGACATTTGCCCCCCTGAGAGATTTTGCAGGAGCCACCACTGTAATTAATGGGTCAAAATATAATTAACATGCTACAGGAAACCGGCCTAAATTTTTGTTCTATAACTATTAACTTTTTTTACCAGGTAAGGCCCACTGAGCAATATAGTTATTTTTCAGAAGCGACCTGGCCACAAATAGCAGCTCAACGAAGTGGCTTATTATGTAGAAATGTATAGCAGCCAAATACTCTAAACGCATGTTTATAAATGGGAGGACCCGGATAAAAATATGATCGACCATAGTCCTCAAATTTCGATTTAAAGCTTTCGTGACTGCAGGAATTCATCTTCTTGGTTCTTTCGGTAAATTCACGTAGAATGGAAATAATAAAAATAATACATAATTAAATAATTCTCACGACGTTTCGGCCACAACGCAAGCAGCCGTCCTCATGTGAAGAACAGGTTTAGACAGACCTGTTCTTCTCCTGAGAATTATTTTATTATGTTTTATTTTTATTCTTTTATTATTTCCATTCTACGTGACTTTACCGAAAGAACCAAGAAGACATAGTCCTAAATTTTGCGTTTTAGACTATTTATGTTTTACAGTAGACAAATAGCTATTATAATTTATTGTAAAAATTACCATGTAGCTGATACAGGATTTGAACTTTAATTCCATGCAAACTATTTGACAGTGAGCCCGCTTAGGAAGTGTTTATATATGCAACTTGTGATTTTTCACATTTTACAGGATTCACCACTCCTTAAATATGGCATCGAACGATCACCGGATCGATCGCGCGTGTGGCCAAAGCGGGGAAGAAGATTGCCTGCAGAGCAAACCACGGCGCAGTGTGCAGACAGAACTCCTTGCAGCCGCGCAGACGCCCAGGTTTTTCCCAGAACTTGAACCTTCTCCGCAGCTCGTTCGTAGCCAAACCAGACTTGCCAGTGTCTCATCCCACGGCCGCGTTAACAAAGTTGCATTTTCAGGTTTTCAAAATAAAATCGTTTTAACCGAGTGTGCACTGCGTACAAAGAGTGAACCCGCTGGATCGTGTGATCTACGCATCCCTAAAGAGAATTCTGTCAGAATTTGTAAGTCACCTGTGGGTGGTGCAGCCATTCCCAGAATAAATAAAGATGGGAATGTAGATAAGACACAGGAGAGAAAACGTGGGAAATGGTCATCAACACCATCTATCCCTGATATTCATGGTAAACGTGATGAAGAAATTGTGCCAAATGTGCTTGTGCCCTCGTGCCAAAAACCTGTTATAGCACCTTTTGCTGGGACTACTACTCAGATTGTTATTAATACCAGAGCCAAGCCAACTGTAAATTCGCCTTCTCAAGCATTTGCTAAATCTACTGTGCCACAACTACAGAGTTCCACAGGAAGGACAGCACCTGGAGCTACCACAAAATCTGCTTTACAGAATCAAAAACATAATTTTGGATACAAAAACAATGATGGTGAAAGTTGCGATAAAATATCTAAGTCATACTCTCTGGACAGAAATAAGCCAAATGATCAACAACAAAAGGAAGATGGTTCGCGTTGGCTTTCGCAAGAAGATGCACAATTAATACATAGGGATAAATGTGCTGCGACCAAAACATATGAATTAATGGCTTCCCAAAAGTCAGCTGCAGAGCTGTTGAAAGAGGCTAAAGAGATCGCTAAACCTGACGCTCCAAAAATGTTTGAGAAACATATGAAGGATGAAGATGGTGGAAAGGGAAATCTACTACCATATCCTGCACCATTCGTGCTACACTCACCAAGCCTGTCTGACAAGGTCACGTTAAATAACAGGAATATGTGTAGGGAAGAATTCTGCATTGACACGCATCAGATGACTAAAGATAATGAAGGAGTGATGCACACCTCTATGCCCAAATTTGATCAGGTCAGTAGATATATTACTATGATATTAAATATTTCATCACCATGTCAAACCAATGTGTACCTTGCGTTAAAATTAAATGCAGTATTGTCAAGTATTTTTTTCCTTCTGCTGCCTCAATCCTGGCACCTGCAGACATTGTAAAAGGTGCCTAGTAAGCGTAAATTATTATTATTATCTTAAACAATTGTAATAATGAATTGTGTACTTCCATTGTCGCGTTATACATTCAACACCATAGAGCTAGAAAAACATGCTGTTTCATTAATCTTTTGATGATGCAAAGTTCATGTCTACTGAAACATTGCTGCACTTTGTCCCATGTGATACATTTGAAATAGGACTCCTTAAGCATACAGAAACGTGCAGAAAACAAGAAAAATCAAGCAGATGGAAGTTCATCAATTTGTGGCAGCCGAAACAAAGCGCCAGTCTTTGTCACATGCTTGCCAGACGCTGCGTCAGAGATGAAAGATTGTGCGGTGACAAAGAAAATGTTCAAGGTCTCTTCGAAATCCCAGACAATCCTTGATTCCAGTCACAGCAATCACAGGAAAACGAACTGTTGATTTGGCTAATGAAAGAGAAGATGCCATGCTTCCCGATCAGGTATTTCATGGATTCCAGCAAACAGGTTAGGCGAGGTCAGGGTGAAATTTTGTGCAAACTGAATCCAAATGTATATCGATTAAGGGAAATAAGTAGATGACCTGACATTTTGTTGTTCAGATGACCGTTCGATGCGTTAGCAAGCAAGAATTGATGGTTGTGAAATGCAGAAAGGCGACTGTTTGCCTTTCCTTAATTAACTATCTCATTACCCAGTCTAAATTCCTCCACCCAAGTATTTGGAGGCGTGCACCCCGGACCTGACAGTCCTTGGTGACAGATGACTTTGTAAAATGTTTGAACAACTTGCAAAGAGTGGTTTCGACACAAAAAGGTAAAAAAAAGCTGAATGCATTCTTATTCCAGGGTAACAGATTGATTTAGAAGTGATCCTGCCATGACAATAAATCTATTGTTTTTGTTACAGCACTACCATACGTCATGATTAATGTTAGTGGTCTTTGGTCATATTCACATCAATACATTTATGTCATAGGGTATATGTCAAAAAGTGTTAAGATGTGTTTTACAACTTAATTTCGAACTTATGGTGGGCTCAGAAACTTGTATGTGATGTACATTAACTTTAAGTGTCATTATGTTTGTCCAGATTTCTCCTGCCAACTTTTTTCAAGTACAAAGAATAAAGCAACATATTGTTAAAAGGAAACTTGGTGGCTCAGACAACAGTAAACAGTTTGCGGATAAGCCTCTGCATAACCTGCCTGCAAAGGCAGCTACTGATAAGTGGGATATTTTCTATTTTCTTTTGTGGATATGTGTGTGTTATTATCATTAGTTGCACGTTGACAGCATGATGTGTAAATGAAAACAACTAAGAAATGTGTTCATGAAATCATAAAAAAACACAATTTTTAGTTGATGTTATGAGTACTCTATGTTAAGACATCCCAATCAAGTGATGTTCATGTATGGCCCATGCCAACTATAGCATAGCATAGTGATGCCCTGGTTCCGGAAATGAAATGGTGCCCCCTGTCCAATGTCACCACTCTTTGTAACCCGGCACTTGTGCCCCTCCGGCCTGTGGGCCCCTTCGTCCCATGGGCCTCAATGCAGATGCACCGCCTGCACACTCAATAGCTTTGCCACTGTTCATGTATCTCATGTTTTTATAACTGACACATGTGCTGTTCTGTGAAGATGTTCTTTGAAGATGTTCTGTGAAGATGGGTGCCACGGTGGCGAGATGTGAACTAGCTCGACCTGGTATACAGGAGGTCGTGGGTTCGATCCCAACCCTGATGCCTGCTGTATATTTGGAGTTTGTGTGTCTCTCTCCCCGTAGTCACGTGGATTTTTTTCTGGGTCCTCCGGTTTTTCCCTCCACATTTAGTATCAACGTGCGTTTAGAGTATTTGGCTGCTATAAATTTCCACATGATAAGCCACTTCGTTGAGCAATCACTTGTGGCCAGGTCGCTTCTGAAAAGTAGATATATAGCTCAGTGGGCCTTACCTGGTAAAATAAAAAATAGTTTTAACCATGGCCTGTTGATAGTGTTTTTTGTGAGGACATCCTCTCTTGGAGAGTTTTCTTTCCTGGGACCATTCATGTGTCTCTGGTTGATAATCAACTGTTTACAAAGCCTTCAATGTGCCCACAGTTGTGTTTTCATGCCAACACAACTCTGGAACAAAGATCCTAATTACGTCCTGTTGTCATGATTATAAAAAGTTAATTCTAATAGTATATATGCTTTCCTATACACAGTCTCTTTTTGTGAACTTAGCCACCATTGATAACCACAGCGACATTTGCCACCTGTGTAGCAAGTGTAGAGTTTTACGGGCTAATCGTTTGAATTTTTTAAATGATATTTTGACACATGGTACACTTATATATTCTTAAGAACTATAATATTGTTTTGTGTTTTGACAGGGAGATTGGTGCTTGCAGCATCCACTATTTCTGCACTGGAAACCTAAGCGATGTTGTTCCTCCAAGATTGCAGCAGTTTTCCAGGTTTTGTCATGCACCCAGCAAGTATCCACCTTCCTGGAGTAAATTAGCTGAAGAAAGTTTCAATTCGGAAACGGCAAGGTACCTAAATTACTCATGACACAAATAACGAAGCTACTTTAAATGTCTATGTTGTTGATGGTGGTGCAGTGGTTATCATGCTGTGCCTGCAACTCGGTACCCTGGGTTTGAACCCTGGCTGCAGATAACACCGCTGCCAAGTGGGACCTGAACCTTTTCTGAGGTTTATCCGAGATTGACTCAGCCTTAGATGACTACCTGGTGCAGTGAGCAAACATCAACAAAGAAGAGACAAAGGTGTGGGTGCTAGCCACAACAACCCTTTGTGGATAGTGGTGACGTTAATATATGCTTGCTAACAGCCCCTACCCTCCCCTTCCCCCCGTTAGGCTGTATAGCTATATGGGGGATCTTTAATCTTTATGCGTGAATGTGTGTACGTATGACTTTGTGTTTATATACTTTATGTGTATGTGTCGGTATGTGTTTAACGTGTATATGTGTGCGTATGTGGATGTAAGTAGAAGTGTATGTGTCTGTATATAACTTTTGAGGATTGGTCATGCAGAGGTTGGTGCACTGCGCTACAAACCCATTGACCTCAGTTTGTTTCCTGGCCACAGCTAATATCAGTGGCGAGTGCAATCTGAACTGGTCCTGAGTCACCCATAGGTCAATTCAACCTTCAATAAGTATCTGGTGGGGGGTGTAAACATCACACTATGGGGAGACAAAGGCGGCCACGTGGTGTGCTGGTCATACCACCCCCATGTATGCTGTGCCAGTCTTAATAGCATTTGCCCCAAAAGTCTATAAAAGTCTCTATTTCAGGTTTTTGTTTTCTATAACATGTTTTGTTTAACAATACACAACAATGAGCAATTTTTCACCACTGGTTACTAATATTTATTTAATTACAGAATGTGTTCCTGAATCAGAGTTTTGCAAATTTTACGTAGTGACATAATAAAGTAGTACTTATGTAGAACTTTCGCACCGTAAATAACCAGCTGTGCCCTCATCGGAGATGGTGGCTTGCAGATCGGCATCAAATAGGTACTTTATTGTTCTTTTAAAATGTATTTCAGAACTCTCGAGCAAGGAGTCAGCCTTACAGAAGTATTAGCTTCTGAGAAAGACTGTCTACCTGTTATGCCAACACCGTGTCCTTCAAGTCTAGAGGAATGGCAGAGGGTCGCAGAGATCTGCGTACAAAGTCCTCAGTTTTGTGTGGTTGGGAAGCAGGTACGTTTATAGGCATTGATGTCATTCCGAACTTTTATTTCCCATCGTGTGTGTAAATACATATACACCCGTTTACGCTCATTCATTTAATTCCCCTATGCTTTATAATGTGCACCTGTGCTTGTCAAGAGCCTTGGTGTACTGTGTAATAAAGACCCTTGGTTGCTTTTTAATGCCAGGTGCCACTGAAGATAGATGTTTCAAGGTTGTTCTGGAATCCTTCGCCTCCTAAGTTTGCTTGCCCAACCTCTTACTTCAAACAGCTTCTTTGTCCCATATACCAGGTAAGATTTTCTTTGTTGGTTATGTGCAAATTTAAACTGCGGTCATATAAAAAAAATAGGCTTTATTCGATGTCTGCGGAGAAAAATTGCATCTTCTAACTGAAAAAAAGCAGTTGATGCTTTAAAGCTGCCTTTTTCTTGTCCTTAAATTTTTTACTAGAATGCCATCTTATGTACTCTGCAGGTATGTTTGAGCTGCCTGGGGTGGCCCAGAGGTCAAGAGTGCTGAGCTAACAGGGCTGAGAGCCGGGGTTCAAATTCAGACAGCTAGCCGCCTGTAATGCAATCGGTTCTTAAGTGTCGTCACCAATGACTGCACTCAAAAAAAATCCCACCATTTTTACATTTACTCCATTTCAGCATTGAGAATTTAAAAGACTGTTTTGAATATCATGCCACAGACGTCAATCTCTGTGCGGATCATTTGGAAATGTCCTGCCCACTACTGTGACATTGGTCAATTTATGGAATGTCAGAAGTAGCTCTGTAGTGTCCGATTTAATGGGCTGTTTCCTAACACAGATGGCTATGTCGTTGCATGACATGACACCGATGGCAAAATTAAAACAACAGTACTCTTTTTAAATAATACATTTTCTCTTTATGATCCTGCCAGTAACCATGTCTCCCTTCTGCTAGGCTTGCAGTTGCAAGATAAGAATTATACCATTATACATTTACTACAATAACAGTACATTATATCGAATGTATAAGAACATTTTGAGAATGAGGAATGAAAAAGTAGAACTTGATTGCTAGTCTTATTTTTAAGTTCAATTTTCATATGATGTTTTAATCAATGCATTGGTTTCAGATGTCACCACAGCATGTTGTATTTTTTATACAGTACAGTATAATGTAATAAGTGTGAGTACATACCTTTAATATATTATCTCTTATATATGTGCCGTGCTGTGTATAAATATGTATTGAATATGTGTGAATAATAAAATAATTTGTTATTCACACAGTCATGGGGGTTGGTGGTCCATGCTTCACCACACTAACTAGTCAGTGTGGCTTTGTGAAGGTGCCCATGATCAGTTAAACTATCACTCACCGCTGATAATAGCCATGGCTGGGAATCAAACGTAGGTCACCGGGTTCATAGTTCAGTGCGTGAGCCACTGTCTCACCCACCGCTGCACCTTGTGTGTGTATAAAGATAATAAATTACTTGGGAAGGAGGTGGGGGATAACTTCAAACACCGTCAGGCTTTCTTTAGGTATTATAATCAGTCTAGAAAAACGATGAATTTTAATAATTGACTGATAATGTCATTTAATATTACGGGGCATTATACAATTGTGAAACAACGTTTCTGTTACGAGCAGACTGATCTGTTGAAAACAATGGCCAATACAGAGGCACTTCCTGCTGAAATGGATAATGAAGGCGATGATGATGATGAGGAAGAGATGAGAGAACGTCTTGAAGAGAGAGATCATATCGTGAGTCACAGAATTATATTAATAACCATCTTTATTTGTTATGACTGTATTGAATACATATTTAAATGTAATCTTGGTAAAACATCCAAAATAGGACATACGTGAAAAAAAAGCTGCGGCTTTACAAACTTTATTTTTCACACATTTCAGAACACAACGATGCACTTTTACTTAAACCATACGCTGCACAAAAGTGTAAATGTCTCACAATTATATGTATATTGCACGTCACTTGCAGTAAATACTCTGTTAAAAAGACCATTCGCTCTTTGCTGGTTAATAATTGGCGACCTGGAATTGAATAGGGTCGTGTGTTATCTCGGACTTATGGATCAGAGCCAGCCTTGGGCAGACCCGGGCCGTTGCGGTCACTCAGTGACCTCGTGGTGACCTGCGCAGGCTCTGGCGGGGCACGGAGACAGGTACATGCCCCCCCCCACACTGACATGCCCCCCCCCCCCCACACTGAACACAGGCCATTGTTCTGCAAGGTTTAGCTCTCTTGACGAGCTTTCAACACCGGCTTGGCCACACACTTTATTTACCACCGCAGCCCAGCTCTTGGGTGTACCCACATGTGTTTGCACTTTGGGTGTAGCCGCACTACAGATGAAAAGGTGTAGTGTAAAAAAAAACATTGCGTATATATGTTCTCACCTTGGGATTGTTTTTCTTTCAAGTGGAACATTTTTAAACAAATACTGTACAGCCGAATGTAATGATAAGTGTGGCGTCGTCTTCAAAATGGGGACCTGTATGAAAAATTATATTGTTACAAGTCGAGATTTTTTATTTAAAGCTTTCGTGACTGTAGGGATTCATATTATTAGTTCTTTCGGTAAAGTCACATAGAAGGGAAATAATAAAATAATATTCATATAACACACAGCGATGTTGTTTGTGTTCTGCCTATTTTTACAAAAGCTGAGGTTTTACATTAGGCTATTTAAATTATTGACACTGATATTTTTTTACATTCCCAACAATTTGCGAATCTTCATAAATTGTTACTGAGACAAAGTGCGTGCGTGTGTAGGTAATGTCCAACTCTGTGTGTATGTGCTTTTGTTATTGAGAGCAAAAAAAAATCAGTACGATTTCTAAACAATTTCTAATGTGTGTGTGTGTCTCATTTACCAGAGGTGTGCATGTTAATATCTATCTCTGACAAACTGCCCCAAAATTGGTTATCTATAGCAGGTGCATTAATATGTTTTTGATGTTTGTATAATATTTTTTGTGTTTAGCATAACTGCATGTTGCTGTTTATATAGCAACTTTTTACAGGGTGACGTGTGATACGTGCATCGTTATGAACGTACAATTGCATTAAAATAGCTCGCATTTTATTTCTAAATTGAGGAATGTAGCCAGTGGAGTCACATTATGGAATCCCGAGTTCATTTTCATGAGTGATTTAGTTTCCTTAGTTCATATTGTTTTGGAATAAAACAGTCAATACAACTTTTAACATCACGTAAAAAAACAGAGACAATGTAGTGCAATTGGCTGCCTCTAATTGGATACGTTCCTGTCAAACAGTACATTAATAGCATTTGTTTTTTTGTTGCTTTGTTACAGCAAGAAGTGTGGGAAACATGTTCAAGTGAAAAATGCGAAGATCCAAGACTTTTAAATTGGCACGTACATTCTGTAGTCGAGAAGGTAAACCACATGTTAAAACCAAGGAAATGCACATCTGAGCCATCTTTAAATCATGAAGATTCTGACTTTAATTTGAAAGCACCTTCTGACTTCAGGACTTGCATGGATGAACTGGAAGCTCACAAAGCGATGATACAATTTGCTGCCAAAGAACTTAAAGATGCTTCTGCAAAAAGTTATGATCAAACAGAAGTGTGTGTTAAGCCAAGGCAAAAAATTGCCAAATTAACTCCAGCTGAAAAGGCCAGAGAAGCAGGTCTAAAATATGTCCATTACCCAAAGACAAAGAAGAAAAAAAGACGTTCGCTCCACCCAGACAAGCTCGAAGCTGTCTTGGATCAGCTCCAGTTACCCCCAAGGCTCTTGACAAGGTATTCTGTGTGCCTTTGCATAAACAATTCTATGGCGTTGCACAGAATACCGTACACACTTCATATTAGATATTATCCTTCCGGCTGGGGTTTTTGAGACGTATTTTTTTACTTCGCGTGCGGTTCCTAAAGTGTGTCATTTACAAAAAAAATCTCCGTTTGTTATTGCAGGTGTTGTTCAGATCCTCATCTGCAGAGCCCACGCGGGAAGCCACCCTCGTGGGTTTTACACAGCGTTCATCGTGACCGCCGCAGACCAAGCCTTCCACGGTGTTTGGATTTTGGGAGCTTTGCCGACAATCAGGGCAGAATCCCTGAAGATGAAAGTCCTCGGGAGTGGGTCCGAGACATTTGGAACCGCTGGTTTGATGAAGTGTTTCCTCCGAAACCAAAGCCCAGCAACAACTTATTGCATGCGGCCACAGGGACCAATTCGGAGGCGTTAGGTGTATCAGCAGTAGATAAGACAGATGTTGAAATTCGTGATGTTAGTGCTGCGCCTGCTGGTGTGAACACGGGTTTTGCAGAGCTGAAGCCAGGGAAGGAGGATCTTGAAGCAGAAGTTGAACGTCTCTCTGGTCTCATTGAGGCTCAAGGACAGCCCTCGTCATTCCATTTTTGTCGCAGGGGAGCTGTCTACAGAAAGCTCGGGCGGCTCGATTTGGCAAAGTCAGATTTAGATACAGTAAGTTGTATGCAGTTTTATACATTGCATTTTTTTCTCTTTTCACCGACATGTATGCATTGTAATGAAATTCTGAAAAGGCTTCGCGGTTCAGCCTGCCGTGAGATAATTTATTACCTCCGTTTCCTACTCCATTAAGAACCATCGCCTGTGTTGCGTGCAAAATTTGACCGTATAATTGCTTGGCTGGCTTTGAACATGGGAAAAGTATGACTTTACATAATTTCCATAACGCACACAATAATAATAATAGGACGATACATGTATTCCTCATTGTCATTAAAACAATTTTCTTCAGGCCATCAACAAGGAAGTGATGCTGCTGGACGCGTACTGGCATCGACACTTTATTCACCTGCTGCAAGACAATCCGCGTGCTGCACTACATGACCTGAACTTCATCCTCAAACATAACCAGACACGTGCAGGTATTACCCTACGACTCACTAATCACATACATACCTACATACACACATATTTCACAAGACACGATTATACAGTAAAGGTACAACGTCACGTATCCAACTCACATATCCACCTTGATCTATTCGCCACCCAAACTCAGTGCATAGTGTTACTGTCATTTTCTATACACGTTCACGTACAGTATCCATTCGCTTCTAATCTATAGTAGTACATTTTCCCATGTTTAACAAGTAGTTTGTGCTTTACTTTTGCTCCAGTTATTTTATATATGCCTATGGTCAGATGACATGCGACATTGTACTCTACTACATTCCAGTAACAAAAGCAAAGTGTTGCGCGGCAAATCCGTTGCAATGTCTGTAAAGCACGTCACATTTCAGAGCTCTGCAAATGTGAAGGCAATTCTGTCCTGTATTTCACAAAGATGCATATAGATCCCGCGCAGAAATATACAGCAGTCTCGGAGACATCGACATGGCTCTGTGCAACTACAGCCAGGCTATAAAGTACAACTCTGAGGATTATGGGAGTTACTTTCGACGTGCGGAAGCCAATCAGCGGAGAGGGGATATGCAACTGGCTATGCAGGATTATGCTCAGGTGCTGTATGTTTTAAATTATAAATCTTTGGCATATGAAATTTGCACACGTATGTTCTAAGTCATTATTCATAACGGCACCCTGATTAAGATTGGTTAAAAAGCTAAATATTTTTATATGTAAGGATTGAGCAACTGATGTGTAGAGATTATTACGTATTGTACGATGTTTAAAGGTACACGCACATTTTTTCGTGGTTGTTTTTAAATTAATTTTATGTTTCACTGCAATGTAATAAGGCACGATTAAAATCTTTCTATTTCATATGCATATTGTACAAGTGATATTTAGATTATTTTCCCATGCTTATGTCTATATTCAAATAGCCCTGCTGTGTGCTGTCTATTGTACAAATGCACTGACAACGGGAATTAAATGTTTAACTTACATTATTACAAAGTAATTTAAATTCAGGTACTGCATTGCCTCCAAATGTACTGCAGTATTTTATTTAAATTGGAGAATACATCTTAACTCTGAAAAATGTCACCTCCAGGCTGCCCGTATCAACCCAAGCCAGGTGGAAGCGTTGATAAGGTGTGGAAGATTTCACTTGAAGCAAAGAGATTGGGCTGCTGCCATCCAGGACTTTACAACTTTGATTGATCGAGAGCCGAACAATGCACTGCATCGGTAACTAATGCACCTATAATGATTCATTTCGATAGCCCATTCGTTTTTGTCATTTTTTACATTGCATCGGTATTAGTTCTTAATTGTTTCTCGTTATTGTGCAGTATTGCGTGCCTTATAATCCATAATGTAACATTAGCATGTCATTTGCATCTTTTTTTTCATGCATTGTCATTGATGTATACAAATTTTACATTGTCTGTATCGTGAACGTACAGAATTGATTTAAATCAATGAATTGATGCATCCTTACATTCCCAGGTAATTATTTACAGCAACCATTATGTAATTAAAACATACTTTCTCAAAGCCATTTTTCTGTTGGCCAATCATACATTGCACATTTGTGCTACAATTTGTACAAATAAAGCACATATTTGGAGAGAGGTGGAAAATTGGTGAGAACGCTGTACTGAACCTCCCTTCCTGAGCACAATTTCTAGCCACAGCTCACATCAATCGGCACTGATCAGTCTGATCACATAGAGTCACCAATCGGCACTGATCAGTGTGATCACGTAGAGCTAACAAACCCCATACCCTACACGACATGGGGAGGCCTTCAACCAGCAATGGCTTAACGAAGGGCTTTAAATTATCTTTTTTTTTTCCAGTACACATCGAGGAATAGCGTACGCCGGTGTGAACTGCTACAAGGAGGCAATCAAAGACTTTACGTTGAGCATCCGCTTGGACCCAAAGAACTGGATCGGCTTCTACCATCGAGGGTGCCTCCTGCGTGAAGCTCTCCCGACAAAGGCTCTGCAGGACCTCAGCATCTCAGGTGTGATGTCATTGAAAGCTGTTGAAATATTGACCGGCAAGAGATCTCACACCGGCAAGACATCTCGCACCTGCCGGAAATCATAACACTAAAACTAAACAAACTGAACTTTTTTTTTATTATACTAGGTAAGGCCGACTGAGTTATATGGCTGTTTTTCAGAAACGACCTAGCCACGGATGATAGCTCAACAAAGTGGCTTTTGTGAAAAGTTATAATAGCCAAATACTTTAAACGCACGTTTCTAAATGTGGAGGAAAAAAGCAGAGGACCCGGAGAAAAATCCACAAGACCACGGGGGGGAGAACATGCGAACCCATGACCTCTTGTATACCAGGCGAGGTAGTTAACATCTCGCCACTGTGGCACCCCTAACACATCATCCAAATAGTCTGTCTTTCCTTCAAGATCCTCCATGGACGACTCGCTCTTACATACTTTGGCCCCCTTTCATCTCACCCTCTGCCAAGCAACTCTCTGCTCCAGCAACCAAGCTCCAGGCAACCTTTGCTCAGTGGGAGGTCGCTCAGTCTCCCCTGCTGCCCCCATCATCTCGAACTCCCTTCCCCCAGCCATTCGTGCTCTCGACTCCCTGCCCTTATGCTGGACTAAAGATATTTGTCCTCTGCCTATGAATGACTGCCTTGTCCAATTTGTAAATTGTATTGTACTTTGCTTTGTTTTTAGTGCAGATGTAAGTTCAGATACGATATGTTAATCATTAAACCTACCCTAATTTATCTCCAAGGTTTAGTTTGAATATGTACAGTGCATTTGGGTTCAAATCATAATTTTAGTTACATGTTTGCAACGTGCATTTACAACTTGTGTTTGTGCATAGGGTGCCGTGGAGGCGAGATCTTAACTCCCTCGCCTGGTATGCAGGAAGTCGTGGGTTTCATCCCGACCCTGACGCTTGTACGTTTAGAGTATTGATGTTCTCCCCGTTGTCGCATGGATTTTTCTCCGAGCCCTCCTGTTTTCCCTCCACATTTAGAATCGACATGCGTTTAGAGTTTTTGGCTGCTATACCACTTCCACACAATGGTAAGCCACTTCGTTGAGCTATCGTGTGTGGCCAGGTCGCTTCTGAAAAAGAAGTCAGTGGGCCTTACCTGGTCAAAATAAAACAAAGTTTAGTTTTAGTTTAGTTTATATGAACTTAGATCGCAATCAAGTAACATTGCTTTCTTACCAGCTTTGAATACTTTACTTTTCTTTGTGGTCCTTGTTTCTGCAGTCCTCTTGAACAACCGGGCAGACAATATGCTGGCTTTCCTGCACCGTGGGATGCTGTACGCCCAGATGGGAAGGTGGACAGAAGCAATCTGTGACTTTGAGATTGTACAGCAGATGGACAGGTTGGTGTGTTTCATCAACCCACCGTTAGCCTTTCAGCATTGCTTAGTATTCCATTTGCATGTTCCTTTTATCACTTGTGAGCAATAATACATTGAAAGACAAGTGTGTGGCTTATGCAATAATGAATCCTAGTTAAAGAGGTCTAATGGGTCATGTGATCGCATGCCCCTGTAGCTTAGCAGCGGATACCAGTTTTGTCAACATACCACGAAGTGCATCTTAAGTAGTATTGCATCAATTTATTGATTAAAATCGATTCATACTCTCACGATGCCTTCACAGAGCTAGAATTGTGCGTGTAAAAATCGTTTATTTTAAATTATTGCGTGTAATTTGTTCGCATAGACCCTGCAGCTACGTGAGGCTATGCATGCACCAGAATATATATTTTTAACTCTTCCTAAATTTGATCTCAACCACGACTTGTGGCACTTAATTGAATCACCGAAAGAGAATAATAATTGTAAGATGCCTTTTCGCGGCATCTGCAGCTGTGTACAAGAGTTTTGAATAACGCAACGGACTGGTTTCAAAGTATGCTATCATCAAGACTCCGATAACATAATCCACTCATAATAAGATAAATGTGTCTATAACCTGACCATATTTACTTTGGGCATTAAAAAAAAGAGGGAATATTGAAATGAATGGAATGACCTTTGTATTAGCATCCCACACGTAAGTGATTTTCACGTACACATTTCCATTCTGTTTAATGTGTAAAGATCATCTTAAAGTACATTATATTATTAAGTACATATATGCATACATTCTTCAGTTCCAAAACGAATAATAGCTGTGGAGTCAAGATCGTGCAACGCTTATTTTTCTGTACTGATTTAAACGTTTACCTTTATGATATATTTGCTTCTAAATTAGTATTTTTCATCTTCTTGGTTCTTTCGGTAAAGTCACGTAGAAGGGAAGTAATAAAATAATAAAAATAAAACATAATAAAACAATTCTCACGACGTTTCGGCAAGCAGCCGTCCTCAGGACGGCTGCTTGCGTTGTGGCCGAAACGTCGTGAGAATTGTTTTATTATGTTTTTTTTATTTTATTACTTCCCTTCTACGTGACTTTACCGAAAGAACCAAGAAGATGAATCCCTGCAGTCACGAAAGCTTTAAATCGAAATTTAGTATTTTTCACTTGCACTCTAATATTGTCACCTAACGGCTGCTGCTCCTTGTGGGTGATGAATGGAAGGACTGTGGCCCTGGCCCACATGAACCTAGGACTGATCCTGCTCACAGTGAAGGAGCAATACCATGCGGCCATAAAGTGTTTTACTGCGGCCTTGAAGACCTTGCCTACCTGCGCCCGCGCCTACGTGCATCGGGCTGACGCGTACCACAAGGTTGGTCGAAGCTGCTGCCACGCACTTCTTTTGGGGAGAGGCGGTGGGATTCGCGTTGCTGGGCACACGGGCCTTTGCCACGTTTTTCTCTACTCTGTGTGTTAATTCCACCAGGTCAACCGCGGTCTTTGAAACGAGGTGATAACCATGGAAATGCAATATCTCTTTCCAATTTGAATCTGAATCCAAGATCAGTTGTGAGTGATCTCTCCCAAATTAGAGAGTGTTGAAACATAGAACAAAGTAAAACAATCAAAGCAGAACTTAATTTCACGTATAATCTTCCAATAAATAAGTTATTCTTTTTGCTTGCAACATGTTGCATGAAGATGTTGTGTAAGTGAATAATGTTTTAAATTCCCCAACAAATGTCATCAATGATGTGTATATGTATCGCACTGATGCAAATTTAAAGTTGACTGCATGTGGTTACCACGTTGCATTGATTGGCAACTGGGTGGAATGCTGTTGCTCTGTATAATGAACTAGGACTGAATGCATTGGTTGGTAGCTAAGGATGATCTGCAAATACCACTATCTATAGTAACAAAAGGGACCAGAATCAATGAGAAGACACCCAAAACAAACGCAAGCAAGACATCAAAGATCACCACACTGAAGGCTTCACAATGGGTCAAAGAACAGTTGCTAAGAATTCTGAGGCCACCCACCAGTTTCGTTCATTATTCAACTCAAGACATATATATATAAATATTATAAAGATTGTCACACTTACTGTAAGGTAAAAAAAAATATATACATATATTATTTTGTGTTTGCTGCTGTTGAATATCCTGGGATATGTTTTTTTTTGTTATTATGCATGATGCCACCATTATATTGCATGATGCCACCATTATAAGCATTATATTGTTATAAATTAAATCGTCAACTTTTTTATCTTAATATACATTAATTTAATTTTGCTGTCAGGAGTTTGGAAAGCAATGGTGAATTTGGGCTGAAATAACCAAACACATTTTATATACAAATAAAACACTGCAAGTTCAGTGATTGTCTTACTCTGAAATGCCGATCGATGCAACGTTTTTGTATCTCTTTCCGTTCCTGTTCTTACAAAGTAATGTTCAATCGTCAAACGTGTTTACATTTTCTAACAGGTTGGCGACCTCCACAGCGCCCTCTGTGATGTGACCAAGGCGATCCACCTGCAGCCAACTTCGTTCCACCTCTACCTGATGAGGTGAGACGCTCCACGGCACAAATCCTCTGCCAGGCCGGAACATTGCAGCCATTTAGCTTCTGCGGGAGGTCAGCTTTCTGCAAAAGAGTTTCAGGATTTCATTTGCTTTGTGCATTTGCCGGCAGCTTACAATTGGATTAAGTTTCTCCCAGGCCAGACCCTGATTTGTCTTCTCAGCGTTCCGACAGAAAAATGTCCAAAGGCCAGGATAATGATCTGATTGGAGCTGTTGATGAGCGCTTGGTGCCAAAGTGCACGGCCTGGGAGTGAGCTTGTGTCAAATGTTTTTGGTTGCTAAGTTACGGGGACGTGGTAACTTCCAATATTGACAGTGTTTTTAATATAAAAATTTTATTTTTAAAACTATTACTACTCATGCCAATATTAAATGCTATATACATGTTCACAGTAAATGCATCGAGTTTATTGTTTAAATATTAAACCCACACTTGTATACAATAGCAGTAGCTCAATTGTCCTTTTCTTCAACAGTGCATAGATGTTTTCTTGGTTGTTTCGGTAAAGTCACGTAGAAGGGAGATAATAAAATAATAAAACTAAAACATAATAAAATAATACAATTCTCACGACGTTTCGGCCACAACGCAAGCAGCCGTCCTGGCCGAAACGTTGTGAGAATTGTATTATTTTATCTCCCTTCTACGTGACTTTACCGAAAGAACCAAGAAGATGAATCCCTGCAGTCACGAAAGCTTTAAATCGAAATTTAGTGCATAGATGGGGATTGATTTTTTGTGCAATGGGAAATATTTGTTGATAAGCAAATGTATATCATACATTTGATCATATTCGCCTTTTCTTACGTAAAGTCCCCCTAAATTGTAATTGTTATAATAATTTACAGCCCTTCATCAGACCATTGCCAGATGAAAGGTCTCCCCACGTGATGTCAGGCATGGTGTTTTTATCTTTAACACGTAGGCTTTTATAAATGTGTCATTAAAACCCGCCACCACCCGACACAGCCAACACAGCCAACTAGTTTACGTGACAACCCTCACGAGTTGGCTGTGTCGGGTGGTGGCGGGTTTTAACGACACATTTATATATTTACGCGATCTAACCCCCAAAATCCTATGTTATGGATGTTTTTATCTTGTTTATCAGAAGTATTTTAGTATTGAAAAAGAAACAGCGGAAGGTAAAGCGTACAGTCAGACGGGGTTGAGCATGGGAATACGAGAGGGCTAAGGGGAAAATGGAGTAACACCTCCAAGCGAGTTGTGTACATATGTATGTTGAACTTCTTTCGCACCGTGCGTAGCCAACGGAGGAGTTAGGGTCCCACGCAGGGGGTGAACGTTATGGGTGGGAGAGACGCAGTGGAGAGTGATGCTTTGAGGATAGTGTTGTCGGGGAGGCAAAGGAGGGTGCGAGGGAGGCATATGGGCCTTTTCACCACACTTGACCACGCTGGGCAGTAGTGCGGGTTGGTGATGGGGACGGCGAGATCCCGTTTAGATATTGCTCTCGCCATTGATGTTAGCCGCGGCTGGAAACCGGACTCGTGTCGCCGGGCTTATAATGAAAGTGCGCGAACCCGCTGCTTCACCGCTCAGTTATAGCATGCAACATTGAATTGACAGTGCGTTTTATAACAATTGGGGGTGTAGTGGTGGCGCAATGATTAGCACGCTGTGTTATGAACCAAGCAAACTTGGTTCTTGATTGCCAGCCACGGCAAACATCATTAGTTCGTGACAACTGAACCAGTCATGGGCCCCTGCTCTCTTCACTGACCTGCACTGACCAGCGTGGTGATGTGTGGATGATTAAAAAACTTCTATGACTTACATGGCACGACAAAACATTCATCCAGCAGTGGATTGAAAAAACGGCTGCACATGTATAGCAATGGGATGTGTGTCCTTCATACAGCTGCCACACGAAGACCACGCAATTCTGATGTTGTAATTTTGGAATCAAAGACTAACGTGGAATCAAAGGCAATCATGTTTCATGGATGATAAGACCTATATCGGCCTTTGCTTCATTTGTCATTTTTTTGGGATAGAAGAGTCGAGGTCTGCCACACTTGTCATGGAGACGCCCACCCCAGCATGGGATTGATGCATCCCTACCCCCTTTCTACCCTACCACTCCTATCCCCCCCCCCCACCATCTCTCTCTCTTCCCCTACCATTTCAACAAAGGGCCCCCTGCCTGGCGTGCACAATGAAGCTTTAATCTCTGTTTACCTTTCCCTCCCTCTTCTCGTGCGGGTCCCTCTCTCACACGGATTCCATTTCTTGCTGCTGTCCATCAGCTCTGACGATGCACAATGGCCAACATTGGCTACCCCCCCCACCCCATCGCAAGACAATCGGCAGATTAACACCTTGCGCGTCTCCCCCCCGGGAACGGGGCCCTGAGCCTGAGCACAATAAAAGGGGTCTCTGAGAGCTCTGTTTAATGCTCGCATCTCCCTTCCTTAACTCCTGCTGCCACCCAGGGAAGAGCAAACAACATTAGCATTTAAGGCACGGAAAAAAAAGCAGTAATTGGACACTGTGGTATTAGTATTGGATTATCACTCGCTACCTTTTAAAGCCATTCTTTAGCAACCGTGTCTTTTTTTTTCTTGAGCCCATAAAATATTAACATCATCTATGCAACAACGTTGATGATGTAAAGTATTCGTGTGTTTATAATGGCATTAACTCATCAGCATTCTAAATATTTTGGTTTCAAGACTCTAATGGAATGTATGTGTACATTTATGCGGGGATTTCTAGAATTACACATATTGCTCTACATTTTGTTCGATGTATAGCATGATTAGTTTGAAATTGCACGAATATAAAACGGTCACTTAAACTCTTGTTGATCATCATAAGTGTTCTGCTGGAAAATGTATTCCATAGAAGCATGGCAGAGTAACTTTTGTATACAACTGTTGTATGCAATGTGGTATGTATCTGAGATTGATCTACGTACTTATTCATATTATAAGTTTCACAAAATATTAAAGTAAACAATGGCTTTCATTTTTGTGAATGTGATTGATTCATATAGTCACTATCTTCAAAATAAGTATGGTAATGTGCAGGATTCAAAATAGAGAGGGCTGTATTCATTTTGACAGAAATGCAGTTTTTGCCACCACAGTATTTGATCATAATTAGCCAAACGTTTTACAGCATAAATCAGAGGCCAATGTAGAGCTATTTTTTTAAGAACATTTCCAAAGAAAAATTTAATTCAATGTAGATATGAGCAAGGATTTAACTAATCGCTGACAGTTTATAATAAATGTATGATATACACAAACAACATACAATTTAAGGGCCATTTTTTGTCAGTTGAGAATATAATTGTGAAAAAATTATACTGTCAAGCCATTGGGTCCATGTGTGCCTGACTTTGAGGAAACTATGTCATTTAACAAATGCTTAACTTTTGTATGAAAAAATATTATTAGAGACGTTACACCCCTAAAATCCATTCATTACGTGATTAGGACGTGGCAGAAAGGGCCACCCAATGACAATTCAACGCAATGTGCTTGCATTTCGTATTATCTTCTGCAGAGGGCAGTATCTGTATGAAATGAACAACAAGGAACTGGCTGTCTTTTGCCTGTGCCACGTTTTAGAAATGAGTCAAGGTGAGGTTACACGCACACACACTTCTACATAATATACATGTACACAAATGCATGAGTAAATATGGAACTTTTAAAAGCATATTTATTGATACAATTTGCGTTGGCTCTGACCCATATCGACCTTGAATATACAAATCACTACACTTTTATATGAAAGGTGAGTTTACATTTTATCGGTATATTACATTAAATTATGAATATATTGCATTATATGTAGTATATGTTATTAATATATTGCATTATATGTGGTATATGTAGTGTAATCTATGAATAGTTTCACTGGTATATAGTAAGTCTATACTAAGGATAAAGGAGCCAAATATATATTTTCATGGATATCCTTGTTACGTGACCATTGTATATTCACATACATTATTTTATAAGACACACTTGTTGCATACATTCAATGTGATATGTCATTCAGCATAAAGTGTAACCTTTATCGTGAATCCCAGATAAATATTTCATGTTGACACAACAAAGCTCAACATAATATCTGGTATAATGGAAAAAATTTCATAAATTCCATATTGAATACAAAAATACGCCATAATAATGCGACTTGTACATGTTTAAAATGTAAACATTGCCATGAAAGTAAAAGCTTGGTGAGTATTGGTTTAGATTCAGAGATGGAATATAAGACATAGAATAGGTGATAAAGTGCAGGGTTTAAAAAAAAACATGATGAAGAAATTCAGAATTGTTGGAACAAAGTCAAGGCTGCAGGTTTCTGATTTTGTAATGTTCTAATTTACATACGAAACGTATGTCAATTGACTTGTTATTCATCTTAAGTATCCCGAAAAGTTCAATTATTGCAAGATTTTTCTATCAGTCTTTCCATTCACCCATTGCCTTTGCATGAACAATTGTGCTCATTTACACATTTTTGTCAAAGCATTGCATTTTTTAAAGTCATTTTAGTATGCGAAGTAGACTTCCAATGCAAATGTGGTATATATTGGGAAATGAATGTGATGTGATAAACTGTCAATCATCATAAAATAGATAGTGTTAAATGCAATTCAAGTCTAATTTGAACATTTAGATGCAATATGTTTCAGTTGTGTAAGATGACATCACGATTGGTGGCAGAAATATATTTCAGGAATCAATAATTTTGTGCCTTATTTTCACAGACTCGTTTAAAATGTTTACAATTTGTAGTTTGCTTCAACATCCTAAATTTCACATTACCATATTATTGGCATTTAATGTCAGAATCGAAAACTGTATTTATACTGGAGGAATCCGATGAGTGTTCACAGATGTCAAGATAATTTACCATACACCAACAGAACATTGCTTCTTGCACACGCGATTCGATCTATTGTGGCTTTTAACAAATCGATATCAATCTATGCATCAATGCCATTTCCTAATTTGTTTATTAATATTAGATTTTGCTTGGTTATTGGGTTTTCAATTGCTTGGTATGCACGTACGTGTGTTGGGCTTCTTTCGCGCCGTGTGTAGCTAATCGTGTGTTTGGGATTTGGTCCTTATATATAATTAATGTACAGCGTTGTGGGATGATGTTGGCATGAATGGCGCTATATAAAATGTAAGTATTATTATGCGCAAAGAGTATGCAGTCTTTCTTAGATTGACATTAAATACAGATTTTCCCCGAGTTACGATGGTCCAACTTACGATATTTCGATCTTACGATGGCGATAGCGATACGACAAAATTGTAAATTATTTTAAATTTCGCGCGGCAGGCAAACGCAGCAGGGTACGAATCTTGGTGAGTACAGGACAATATGATACGTTACGATACGTTCAATGCATGTATGATACGTAGCTTTAGCGATTTTATTTTAGGGTTACCACGATACGATAGTTCAATGCATGTTAAAGACCATTGGAACCTCCTTTGCCAGTAGCAAAATGTGATAATTGTTTTTTTACCCTTTTATCTGGCAACAAAACTGACACTTTTTTTGCATGTTAAAGGTTTTTGTAGCAGATAGGATTATTTCCTGAAAACACTTTCTATTGAATTGCAGTTCATATAGGTAGGCTAAGAATTTACCTTGTTTTTTTACTTTACATTTTACTGTGCAATACAGTATTGTAATTAATAAATACATACAGTATATAATTTATACAGTACGGTACTGTAAATTGCTCTGTTTTGCTAAATTATCACCATTCTTTAAGACTCCTGGGTAGGCTAGGCCATCTTCGACTTACGATATTTTTGACTTACGATGGGGTCGTCGTAACGCATCTCCATCGTAAGTAGAGGACTACCTGTATACATTTGCACAAAACGAACTGCAGAGGGCAGTATCAAGCTTTATATAGAATTCAAATTTCAAGTTCAAGAGTGTTTATCTGAGTCGTGCGAATTAATGCTGGATGTTTGTACACAACTTGTGCTAATGTGTTGGCACCATCTGTCAGAGTTGGGCTTGTGCTCAATGCAGCAGGCGATCATCCAGTCCTTTCTGAAGGATCATCAGCGGGCCATCGAGTGTCTGGCTGACATGTGCAGCATGCAGCCGCAAGTCACGACGCTTGCTTTGCTCGGCAACATTCAGATGAAGGCCGAGCAGTTCCAGGTAATAACATGCCATTTCAGAGAGGGAGAGACATATTTTGTATAAATACACAGGACGCAGTATATCGGTTGATGTCTTTCATAATTAAATTTTCTCTGATTTTGCCAAATGAAATTAGAAACGCCGAGAAAAAAATGTGTTTAGATAAATAATACACCATAATTAGACACAGCAGACAGAACATTCACTTCATGCATTATAATTTATGGGGTATAAAAAGGTTTTATAAGTTAAAAATCTCAATTTCCAACAGTGGATTTATCCTTTGCAGTAAGTATAAGGATGGCACGTGTTAAATCACATTCAAAGGTGCATTTTTCTATTGTAAAATCACTTTTCATGTATGTAGTATGTATGTTGAACTTCTTTCACACTGGACGTAGCCAACCACGCGAATCTGAGGTGTGGGGGAAGGACAAACTAAACGCAAAAAAGAAATGAGCTTCCAATCTAGACACAAAAGTGCATAACTTCAGTGGCTTCCTAACATAGGGAGGAAAAGCATTCCAGACGGCCACAAGTGCAACTGAAACAGAGGTCGCAATCAGGTACCCGATACCCGTACCCTACCCGATACCCGGCTACCCGTACCTGGCCGGGTATCGGGTAGGGTACGTGTAGGGTACGGGTACCCGTTTGTGACCCTGGTGCGGCCGGGTACGGGTAAGGAATCAAAATCCGTTTGCGACCTCTGAACGGAAAGCACGCGATGCAGTGACCGTCTTTGTTCGATGGCTAGCCAAAAGCCCGCTGCGAGGATGACAAAAGTTTGCATGATGGTTTATGCTCCTTGACGAGATTAGCCAGGTGTTGTGGTGAATTTGTGGCAAGCACTTTGTGTGTATACCGTAACTAAAAGCTTACAGCTAAGGCAATTAGCCAGGTGGTGTGAACTCACCGTACTCGCTGACACACTGTGAACATTCAAATGTGTCCTCACACTGCGGAACAATTTGAGTGGGAGCATTAACATTTGTATGACTCATTAAGCAAGAAGTTACATCCACCTGCATCTTGCCTCCCTTGAGCTTCTGCACTTTGTTGCATTATATATGAAAAGAGAGTATAGCATTAGATTGTCGAGTGTTATCTTGGACACAAAGTCTGTAAAGCATATATTTGCGCAGAACTGGAAATGAGAATATGAAGTTTGATGACATCGGTAGGGTAACAAAAGGAGGAAAAATTAATGTATTCATCATACCACAAGATAGGCTTCGCAATACAGCATATAACATGCATGCCACGTTTCTATAAATCGCAAATTAGCCAAATATAAATTTTATATATCTATATCTTTGTAGTGCACACACGCACACACGTTGTGTCCTATTGGCGAAACTGGATTGCATCGCCTTCTCAGAATCAGAATACTTTATTTATCCTGAGAAATCCGATGAGCTATGAAGCTCTTTTTCACACATGTCTCGGTAACATCAAGCTGCTGGTTGCAATAGCCCCCATGAGCCAAGGAGGTTGGATGCTACCACATCGGGTGGCAAATGCTACAAGTATCCACCTTGAGAAATATCCACCATTCGCAGTATACACTGGGATGTGTACTCTGTTTTATAGACACTGTTTCTATTTCCATATTTTCTAGATGCTTCATATCACGGTTTATTTTTCAAATCCATATTCTTTATCAAATATACAATGGCACCCTTTTTAGATTAAAACATTTCGATTAAAAGCTACCACCGTGAACTCGCTATCATTTGTTTGATTCTCAGAAATAAAACGCTTAAAGAAAATGTGTTTTCGAAATTGCCACACTGGGTGGTAGCAATACAGTAATCACTGATCTGTGTATCATACTGGCATAATTTCCATCTCCATACAACTCCAGTATATGCAATTCCCCATGGATGAATCACCATACAATTGAGTTTAGAGTGTCATACTTATAGATTTAAATAAGTGTCGCTTAAAATCGCAGCAAAGACAGAGGCAGTAAATGTGCTTGCACTATTGTGGTGGATTACATTGAAAACTTCCATTTCATCCCCATATCTACGAAGCAAAAACTCAACACGTGCATCAGTAAACCTGTCCTTAACGCATAACAACATGTAATAAGTCATGTTTCAAGCACTAGTCCTTCTTCATGGCACATAGCTTCTATGTGCTATTGCCCAAAATACCACTTATATATTTTTCCTTCAAGGCACTACTGCAAATGCAGTGTCAACAAAAACATTGCGGATGTGTATCGTCATCATGAGACCTCATTTGCCAGTACCAAAATATGAGAATAGGTTTTCCCCTTTTTTCTAGCAACAAAACAGGTGTTAAGATGTTAAACCACCAAACTGAAACCTTTTACAAGGAATCATGTCTGCATTAACCACAATACTTGTGGTCTGAATGCAACAAAAAAAACATACTCTGATAATATATGCATTGTCTTTGAAACTGATTGGTCCACACCAGAGACAGCTTTCTTTTGAGCCTCGTCTCAAAACGATGTTAGACCAGAGAACGCCAAAAGGCGTACAGCACAAAGAGAATTCACTATCAGAGTAATGAGAGCTCTCATTATAATTCGGCTAATTATAATGAGTGCTGCTTATCCACTCTACCATTCATAATATCCTGGGAATGTGACGTGACCCGCTTTTCAACATCATGCAATGAATAGGAATTCCTACCTATGACTTATTGATTTTAAGCTTTCATGACTGCAGGTATAAAATAAATTATTTTATAAATTATTTTATTTCATACCTACGTGACTTTACCGAAAGAACCAAAGAGTATTATTGTTGGTAACACATAACGTTAACAATACTAGATTTTGGTAGAAAACTCCCTCATAGTAATTTATAAACATTGAATCTCGGTGGGCGTTCTGCCAGTGTATTGGAATAAGATTTTGTTTGTAACTAATTTAAAATCATAAATTAACGCCGTGTCCATGTTTATCTTGGACTCATCTTACTTACATTTCCGAGAATATGATAAAATATAACTTTGACGATTCAGTTGCTGAGGCCAGCAAATAGGCTTGCGAAATAAGTTAATATGATATTTAGCTTCACTGCTGACATACCAGCAGTGTAGTTTATGCTGTATTACACTTTGACGTTCGTTTACAAAAAGATAACTGAGTGTGGTTTGGTAAAAATATATAGATACAATTTTATACACATGATTCAAGCCCTGTGACTAAGTATATAATGTCTGTAATGTAAAACAGCCCACCTGCATAGATGAATCAAATGGAGGTTGAGGAAAAGGTGGATGCAATTTATAAAGTTGGCTTGGATCATTTTTACTGCTGTCGGTAATTACACCGTTGACATTTTAATTACATTATTGACTTTAAAATGAAAAACGATACGGCTGTACCGTATCGTTTTCCACTGCCTTTCTTGTTAACACATTTTCAATTACTGTTCATACATATTTTTCAATGAAAATATTGCACCTTTCTCTAATGCATAATGTATAAAATACACAACTATTAGTTTTGAATGCTGATACACCAAATGCATATACCACATTCCATAAACTGTCACAATTAATAGTTTGAATAATTCATTATGATGAACATTAAAGAGTGCTCTCATAAAATGTGTTAAAAATTATTTTCATGTTGTGTTGCAGGAAGCAAAAATGAGCTTTGAGCAAGCGCTACACTTGAGCAACTCAGTCAACAAAGACCAGCAGCCAGCTGATGCCTCAAGGGCCAACATTTATTTCCTTTTGGGGCTGTGTCTAATAGAGCAAACTAACTTCAAAGAGGTATCAATTTTAACTCAATGTCATCAAAATTGTCCATAACAGATTTTATTTAATCGTTGCTGTATAATGGGTTGATTGTGTATGGATGGATGTTGAATTCTTTTGCACCGTACGTAGCCAACCATGCTAATCGGAGGTGCGGCGGAAGGACAACAAACTAAACACAAAAATCAGTTCTTAAGAATTAAATTTTCAATCTAGATTTAAAAGTGCGTAGCTCCAGTGGCTTCCTAATATAGAAAGGAAGGGCATTTCAGACAGCCGCTGAAATGCATCTAAAAGCGTGTGATGCAGTGGCCCTCTTTGTTCGATGGCTAGCTATCAAATGCCGCGGGAAATGTGTCACTTTTAAAAGCCTTGGTGGCCTGCCACCAATGACCTCTGATTTACCACAGCAGGAAGTTATGAAATAATTTCAGAAATAGGCTTGAAAGTCTCTATTCTCCAATAAGCATCACCAAGACATCCTACCACCTGCTTCCTGTGTTGTCGCAAGCAAATGGGACAGACCTGTAATTCAGGCTGTGTGTTATGATGTTCATCATTTAGCATGAACATGTCAATGTCGAACCCCCTCGCTTTGCTCACTGCATGAGGCCATTGCCTGATTACCTACATTAGTTACTATCGGGGCTTAATTTCTCACTTGATATATTCCGAAACACTGCTAGGCTATCTTGGGGTAGGGATTATTGGCACAAGGCACTACCACTAAAATACAAGGTGTGCCTACCCATAACAATCCTATAATAATGTGCCCTAATTAGATGCACAGACGCACCCTTGTTGTCAAGTGTGCTAACGAAAAGGGTGATATGGATGTGGTGTCTCAAAATAATTCCTGCCACGGCGTTCTGGACTCTTTGGCTGAAATTAAGCATCGGATGCTATGATCATTTATTGAATGCAAGTTTCCTTGTGCATATATTTGGGGATTTTTTTGTGTTCATGCATAAACATGCATTGTTTAACATTTAATTTAATCTCATGCTCATTTTCAAATTTACTCATTACCCTATACACACATAAGGGCAATCTAAATGCAAATACAGTGCATCTAAAATTGTTCCAATGGAATACACGACTGCAGAATACTTTATCAGTTTATTTGTGTTTAATTGTTATATGTTTACGAATGTGGTGACAAAATATATTTGTATTCCACGGTAATATGTTGAAATAGTAATATTGCACGTGAAGGGTTGTTATTTTATATGAAAGACTTCAGAATAACCTTATTTATGCAAAGTGCCAAAACATTATTTTAAGCCATTAAAAAGTAATCATAGTTCCAAAATGGGATGACACTTTTTAGATATTTATTGAAGCCTATGCCCCAGGCTTCTTAACATTCAGACTGGTTGCACTGTGTGTTTTTGTTAAAGGCTTTGAAGGCATTCAGCGCTGTTCTGCATATCGTGCCAAAGCACCAAGAGGCCTTGTACAAGCGAGGCATCTGTCGCTTGAAGTTGCAGGATTCTTCAGGATTGCTGGACATCAACCAGACATTGGCTCTCAACCCACACCATATTCAGGTAACAAAAGAGGATTCTACAGAAGTATTATGTTGAATTTTCCATTGCTTATTTATATTATGCAGTTGGTTTTGACGAGTACAAATATTCTCTAAACTCTAAAAAACAAACACGTCAATATTCGAACAACGATGCTCAAGCACTTGACTTAGCTTTTCGAAAAAGCAGAGTGGGTATGGCATTGACGTGAATTACAATTATTATATTGTACCCTATATTCTTATAATCCTTTCCACCTATAAGGGTTTTACTAGCAAAGTTGTCTTGTGTACACATTGGTCTATTTAAAATGATAGTATTTGACAAATGAGGAATGTTTGTATTTGTGTACTTCTTGCCAGTGCACAGTATTAAGCTATTGATAGTTTTGTTTCACCCACCATAATCAAAGCACATCTTTACATATTTATTGACCACATTGAGATGCATTGGGACCAATTAAACATTTAATACAGTGGCCAAGTATATCACGAGAGATATTGTTTTCTTCAAAAATGGTTGAAATAGTGTTTCCGACCGAGTAAACAGAGTCTCAATACCAGCCGTGGCTAATATATATCAAAACAAGTCCTGGGCTCCTCCCCCCCTTCACCAACCCACATTAACTAGTGTAGTGAAGTATGGTCAAACGTGGAACGTGGAGGTCTTGATCCAGCATGTGGATTGACAAAAGGGCTATGAATAATTTATATTAATGTTTTGTGTATTAAAATAGTAATGTTCCACCGTGTAAGATATACATTCCAAAATGTTGACAATGACCGAAGGGACTTTGCTCGTGTTGCGTGCTACATTGTAAGACGATCTTGTTTGCAGGCGTATCTGACCCGTGCAGCATACTACGGCATGAAGGGCAGATTTACAAAGGCCATCATGAACTGTAATGAAGTGTTGAGGATACAGCCCAGCTGTGTGAGAGCACTCCTGTATCGTGGGTCACTTAAATATTGCATCAAGGTATGTGCTTTTTTCTTAATTGTATCCATTGAGTGAGAGCATTTACGTGTATTCCAATACCGTATCACCAGTTTTAATTCTAGATTTGAAGCTTTCGTGACTGCAAGGATTCATACTCTTAGGTTTTTTTCGGTAAAGTCACGTAGGTAAAACTAAATAAATAATAAATACAAATAATATTAATAATAATAGAAATACAATTATAAATCACGACGTTTCAGAGGCAACACAAGCTTCCTTCATCAGGTGTAAAAAGGCACAGCAAAATAACTAGTTATTTGCAGTTAAAATAACTAGTTATTTTGCTGTGCCTTAAAATAACTACAGTTATTTTGCTGTGCCTTTTTACACCTGATGAAGGAAGCTTGTGTTGCCTTCGAAACGTCGTGATTTATTATTTTATTTCTTTTATTATTTCTAATGTTTTTATTTTTTTTCACCTACGTGACTTTACCGAAAAAAAACCTAAGAGTATCACCAGTTTTGGCTAACCGTCGAACAAAGATGATTACTGCATCGCACGCTTTCAGATGAGCTTCTGCGGCCATCTGGAATGCTCTTCCTTCCGATATTAGGAAGCCACTGGAGCATTGCACTTTTAAATCTAGATTGTAAACTAATTTCTTTAAAACCTCCGATTAGCATGGTTGGCTACATAAGGTGTAAGAGAAGTTCAACATACAAACATTATTAAAACCTGTTAACAATCTTGACATCTAAATAGTGAACATTTGAAAAGTTGTAAATTACAAATATTGTCCCTGCATTGTATTACGCTAAGCTAAGACATCTCAATACCAAGCATTGTTAGAAGGTGTGAAATGTCATGTATAAGCTTATAGTTGCTAAATTTAAATTTACTCTGTGCAGAAATACGAAGTCTCAAAGCACAACAGTTTCTGCATACACGTATACAGTATGGGGAAAGTCAGCTTATGCAACACATATTTTTTGTATATTCTGATAGAAATACGTGTAAAATAAATACGAGATTAATTTGTCAGAAATAGTTATTCTTGCTCAATTGTTCAATATAACACCCTGTATATGCTGTATATGTGTGTGCGCAGAAGCCGGTATATAAACAAAAAATATATAGGCTGACTTTCCATACGTATTTATTTTCATGGATACACAGTTCTGCATGAAATAAAGTTAGCTTTATGTAGTGTGTATGTGTATATATACTGTATTCTCTGGATTATAAGATGCTCCGGACAGTTAAACGCACCCCTATCAATTGCTCGTGTGTCCATTAAGTTTTACAAATCTGGTCACACTCGCACCAAATTATGAAACTCACTGCCTACTTTTGCTTTGAAATAAAGGGGGAGGGGGGGGAAAGTGCGTCTTACAATCCGGATAATAAGGCGTATAATACCTTGTTTTGTAAGCAAATATTTAAGGTGTGTGACCTCAATAAGTCTATCGCCACCACCGCCACAGGCATACAAGCTAGCAGTGGAAGACCTTAGCTCTGCCATCTACCTGGACGGCAGCTGCTCACTGGCCTTTTACAACCGTGCCATCTGCTATCAAGAGCTTCATGAGACTGACAAGGTAGCAACAAAATCAATGGGGACATCATTGCGTTACGATGCTCCTGAGTGGACTTTGCTGCTTGGGCGTGTTGCATTAATATTTTGCACACACGTGTATTCTTCAGGGCACACAGCGTGGTGGATAGCCGAGTAATCTCGCACCCATCAGCCGGATAGCGGTTTGTGTGAGAAATTGAGTCCTTAAAGTTAACATCCACCGCCTTGACTGCAGGAGCACACCTGACCTTCCACACCAGCCAGGACCTTGCTGGTACAGCAGCAGCATGCTAGTCAGTTTGTTATCCATGAGCAATGTTTTATCCATGTGTGCACAAGGTCATTAATTCCCTATTTATAGAAAAATGACAGCATTGTGAAGTGTGATATATGGGGCTTACCAATGATTTCCTTTTAAAAATATGCATATAAAAGAAGGGCATTATGTAATACTGATGTCATCTTCTATTGCAGTACATTTTAATGCAGCAGATATCATTTTCATGTTTTAGTTTTCTGTGTTTATTACATTATCTCTTAATGTACGAGTAATGCGTATATAGTGCTGTTAGTAGAATAATTGTACCCTCTTTCACATTTAACAGTGTTCTTAGGACGTATTTGTCTTAGTTATCCTGAAACAAATACATCTCATAATATTGTATTCTGCCTTGGGAAATAATGCCCGTGTTTGTTTTATTCTAATAGCTCATATGTAAAATGTATAATCCCTGATATAGCTTTCAGGCAGAAACGATCCCCGTTTATCATTGGTAGTATTTGATAAAAAAAAAATCCAACCCAGTAATTGCATTGTTGATACATGGACTCAAGCAGCTACTTGATATGCCAACAAGAAGGGAGTTGAAAAATTACCCCAGATAACAGTTGCAGATATTATTTAAATATATGGTATTAGTTTTCAATGCATTTTGTGATTATCATTCAATGTACTGGGCAATGTTTGTCCGGATTGCTAATCTCAACAGATTCATATGCTGTATAGCCAAATGATTGATTATGAAAATAATCATATCGACTGCATAATATTATGCTCAACAAATGTCATTGTAATTTAGTAAAAGTGAGCTTAACTGGACTTTGGAGGATAAGAAACCGATACTTGCCAACGCAAATATTGGGTGGTCAGAAAAATTAAGTTTAGCAAACTCCCAATGCCTTCTGCCCTGAATCGTTGGGAGTACCAGACGAAATTGGCACTCTAAATGTGAATGTGGAAAAAAGAAGTGACTGACATTATTGAAAGAAAATCTTGCAGTATATTACTTTTTTTTGTCATTGAAATGTCCTATATGCATGTGTGACCTCTGCCTCAAGGTCTTCTTTAAGCTTTTGTTTTCTCACGATGCAGGCTGTGAAGGATTACAGTACCATTGCCTTGCTTGGAAAGCAAAATGACTTGTGCAGAAAAGTGATGACAAATCGAGGATTGCTATACTTTGACAAAGGAGACTATCAAAATGCACAGCAGGTACTGTGAATGCAAAGAAAATGAGCACATCACTTTCTTATTTAATCTGTGATCAGAAATGTATTATGCTCAAGAAAGGATCTTTTTGCTAAAAGTACAACTTTTGTTCATTGCTTGGTGCCTTTCAGGCCAATGTCATTACCCGAAAACCAAGATTGTGGTATAATTTTATATTCTAATTGACTCCAGTTTTAGCATCATGAAAGATTTGTTTTGCTCTGTGAAAAAGTTATATAATTCATGTATTCTCAGAGTTAAGCAAGTAAAACGACCATTAAAGAAGAAAATCTAACAAAAGTCGAACATATTTTTTTTACCATGTACAAATGTGTGTTGAATTGAGCATGCTACACTATTTAGGATCTACAATGCCAAACACAATTAAATTACCTCTTGCCAAAAATCTTTGAAACAAGTTTACAATTCTAACAGACACTATTGCGATATAAATTATACATTTTTGGAAATTATTTTTCACAACAATTGAACCTTATGGCGAGACCCCAGGGTCCCGAATAAACTGAAGTCAAAATCATAATTAGTTTATTCATGGCGACTCTGTCCCACCGCGCACATAAACGCCGCGACTCACCTGCAACGGATAATTCTATTGTCGTGTCGTCCAAGCGCAGCGAGGAAGAATGTGCAGAAGAAACAGAACTTTTAAACTTTGATTAGCGCATCGTGTAGAGCTCGTCGAGAGGAACAGATTGCCGTGTCGTTCGCCTTCAACAGACATAAAACAAGTAAACCCGTAAAAACAAAGTTTTTCACTCTAAATCCTTTATATGCGTGGCGGCTAGAGTCCTCTCGTCCTCTGGCTTGAGATGGCTGCCACCTATGGGTCAGATGATTGTCTGCAGTATTAAACAATTGGTAATTAAATATTTAATTTGTTTTCCCTAAACAGTGTCAAATTTAGGAAAAAAAAATTCACGAACATTAATTGTCTCGCACAACGAGTCTGTGTGCAAAATGTCAGCTCGATTGGATCACGGGAAGTGGGTTAAAAAACGACCGAAAGGTTTGCACGGTCGTAAGCAAGCAAGCAAGCACGCAAGCAAGCGAACTTAATATAAAGGATTTAATGACGTCGCAACGCAGTTTATGCGAGAGCCGGGGGGGGGCTTATTGGACCCCGGGGTTCATTTGACGCATCAGACTGGTGGCTCCATTGATGTCAGGTTACAATTGTCAAACATTACCAGCCACAATCCCTACCGCTATGTGTCACACTCCAGATAGTGGCTGGGAAATATGAGAAAACAAAAAATTGATGCTGCATCCCTCCCACACAGAGTCAACATACCTCTCAAAAGGTCAATGTAAATAGAACATTGGTTTTATATATGCGTAGCTGTTTTGGAAGTCTGGAGCATTGCAGGGTATTAAACTGTATTGTGAACATAGCACCCCTTGTGCGACAATGTGAATTAATGAAGATCTTCCCAAGCCACCCCCATCTGTCACGGTCACGCTATATGCAAGGATCAGCGCACGAGCTGATCTCATCACTGAATCTCTGTATATATGTGTGTTGAACTTCTTTTGCACCATACATAGCCAACCGTGCTAATTGGAGGTGCAGGGGGAGGACAAGAAACTAAACAAAAAAAAGCGGTTTTCAATCTCGATTATAAAAGTGCATAGCTCCAGTGGATTCCTAATATCGGAAGGGAGGGTGTTCCAGACGGATAGATCATGGCTGATGATAATTAATTGATGTAAATATTACAGGCTTGTTAATATAGATACATACAATATTATGCATATCTGTTGAATAGAGAGCTTAGATCGGAGAAATTAGAAAACACCTGCGAACAGGTTATGTGCCTTATGTAAATAGGCTAAATAATATAAACATCAGATTAAATGGTAGCGTTTCCTTTAACACTTTATTACAGGATTGTGTACGCATGCATTCATGACATTTGTAAGATTGTTGATGTGTGTGTGTCTGCTTGTGTTCTGTTTAAGAAAAAATACCAGTGGCACGCTGGTGTTTGATTCTGCTATTATTTCATTTATTTCTTCCCCTGGCCTCCATCTCTGGTGATGCTCTATCCCACCTCACTCATCCCTCACTACTGCAGCAAACCATACCTGTGACTTCATCACGCAAACAATGATCAGCCACGGCTGAAGTGTTGGTCCTACCGTGTTTCAAATCTGCCTTATGCTCACGAACACGGTCCGAGACATGACGCTTAGTTTCCTCAATGTAACTACTGCCGCAGACACAGCTTAGTTTGTAGACGCCCGGGGTATTGCATATCAGGGATCCTATCCTTCACAGATGGGATTAGATCACAAATTTTACATACTGTGTTAAATCGAGCCTGGATCTTGTGTTTGCTAAAGATTTTGGAAATATTTTAGGTGACCCCTGCTATTAAAACTAAGGTGATGGTTTTAATTGGGTCCTCAGATGGTTCTTTCCCAACGGTTGGGGTGATAGCTTTACAGATTGTGTGGTCTGAATATCCATTTATCTTGAGAGCTTGGTGCACGTGTTTCAGTTCACTGGCTAGGTGATGATGGTCAGAGATATATCGAGCTCTGGTGTAGAGTTTTGATGAAGGAATTATTCTGGGATGGATGGTGGTTGGAGTCAGGTTTTAGGTAGGGATTCGTATGAGTTGCTTTCCTGTAGACAGTGTCCCATTGAGCCATGTGGTCTCTTTTCGATTAGAACATCCAAAAATGGTAGCTTGCAATCCTTTTCACCTCCATGGTGAATTTGATGGCTGGGTGTATGGAATTAATGTGGTTGAGGAATTGGCTCAGAGCTGGTCGTCCATGTGGCCAGATGACGAACGTGTCATCTACGTACCTCTTCCACAAGGACGGACGTAGAGTGGATGCCTGGATGGCATCTGTCTCAAATTTTTCTATGAAAACATTGGCTACAACCGGAGATAAGGGAGAACCATTGGGGTGCCTTCAACTTGTTTGTAAGATGCTCCATTACGGGTGAAGTATGTATTGGTGAGGCAGTGTCTAACCAGGGCCGGTACTATCAGCATTCAATCCTTGTTGGACTAAATCTTCAATGATTGTAATGGTGTCGGGCACAGGAACTTTGGTGAACAAAGAAACTACATCTAAACTAACGAGCAAATCACCTGGAGATAGTGAGATGTCCTAAATTAAGGATACCAAGTGAGCTGAGTTAAGTACAGATGAGGTGGTCTTACATCACTAGCCCAACCCATGCCGTTTATGACCCTTGGGCGACACCCATTTTAAACCTTTAAAACAGTCTGCCTCAGCAGCTTTCCCCCTCTTTCTTTCTCCTGATGACGATCGCTTGTGTTGTGATCGAAACGTCTTAGTTTTTTTATTTTATTTTAATTAATTTGAACCTATCTACGTGACTTTACCGAAAGAGCCAAAGAATATGAATTCCTACAGTCACAAAAGCTTTAAGTCAAGATGTATTCCTTCTGTGTTTCCCTCTTGAATCTTTGTCCTGCCAATTCCTGTTTTCAAGTGTAGGCTCTAGATTGCCCTCTTCTCCTCTGCCTGTGATTGATTGTCCCTTCTCTACGAATGCACTTTCATCATCCTGCTGTCCTATTTCAAATGATTGAAACACTTTCTCTAAATGATGAGACAACTCGCGCGCAGGAAAGTGCGTGCAGGCTAGGCAAAATAAGGGTAATACTACAACCACAAGGAATCATTTCTAGACGGCAAAAAATACGTTTGTCACCATTGGATATCCGCTCCCATCATGTCTTGCATGTTGCGTTACCACACCATACTGCATGTGCAATGCACTCAGCTGTGTTAGACCACTAACTCAAATAAAAACAATGCAAATCATTTTCGACATGAGGAGGGCAGTAAAAGCTGAACTGTATACCCGTACCCGTTTCATCATCATTATGAATGATCAGTGCAGTACAGGCATCTCCAGCTACCTTGTGGACAAGCCCAGCCTCATCACTAGGGACAACTTGACATTTACATCCTCTCGCTTTCTCCCCTCTGAAATAATCTCACCATAGAATGTACGTCTTGAGATGCGGTGACTTTGGCGTGCTTTATACATAAACATTCCACCGTATCGATATTGCATGGAACAAAGACGGTCACTGCATATTAGAAAGCCACTAAAGCTTTGTCATTTTAAATAATATAGAACTGCTTTTTGTGTCAAATGTGTTGTCCTTCCCCCGCACCTCCGGTTAGCACCGTTGCCTAAGTAGCGTGCTGTGCAAAATAAATGTAACATAGACTTTAATGGTTTATTATTATCTAACAGGTATTCTTATGAACTATCAATCCTCATCTTATCATGTTCCAGCTACACGAACACTACAAATTAATATAAAAATTTGAATTTTTTTATACTTTAACTAATGACGAACGATTAAGACCAAAGCAAGTGCAATTTAGTAGCACAAGGATATACATTACCCTGGAAAGAAACAATGTGCTGTATTGTCTTTTATAAAAAAAAAAGGGTTTAGGTACATTCCCCTGTTACTTAATGCATGTGATTACTCAAGCAATATAAATCTTCAGAATAGATGAAAGCCTTGTGATGAATTTCTAAAACCGTTGAGCTGTGTTATTGCGCGACATTTGAGATAACGCTTCACTCAGCGGAGTTGATTGAGAAAAGTGTAGGTTATCTACATAGCGTATAATGCGCAGCTATTAGCTGGACCTGGAGCATTGAACACACTTTCATAGATCACTGCTTATAATCAGTTTTAGAGCTATATGACGTGCATATAAAGGACTAAACAGAATGCACCCAGATGCCATTACTTGCATTAAATAATTGACTGTATGTATTCATAAACACTCTATACATCCCAGATGTATGTATATAATCGCGACTGATCGCCATCTGTTTCCATCTGTATGGGATATAATGTTGCCCCCTCGTGCACCTGGGTGATCTGGTTTCCTCCTCTCCTGTTAAATCAGCTCCTTAATTTGGCTGAACACATCTTCAAGTAACAAAAAAACCTTTTTGCAGGACCCTCCTGCAAAAAGAGAGTCCTACGATTCAGTGTGGTTCTCCTGTGTAAATAGTTAAATGATTACCCATCATAATTATTATCATTAGTGATACACGTAATTACACTCGTGCTTTTCTGTATTTTAAATTGGCCTCGAAGTAGTAGTATTAGCACGTCAGAATCAACACATGTAAGCACCGACCACGAATTATGTGGTGATGCTGCTGCGTTTGCACCGATGCTCAGGCACAATTAGCACATCAATAAACACCGTGGCTGTATAAAGGAAAATATATAATTAGTGAAATTTCGGGCATTGGCCCTTCTCTATAGCACACAAATTATTCGAATATATATTCTGTATATACCTTCTGTTACAAGGCAAGGCTTCAAATAACGTCGGGATTTATTTTATTTTTTACCTACGTGACTTTACCGAGAAAAACCAAAGAGTAAGAAGGCAGTGTGATTGACGAATGTGATGAGGTGTGATGTACCCCCCGGCAAATCTCCAACAGTTTTATGATTAATACATAAATTTCGATTTAAAGCTTTCGTGACTGCAGGGATTCATCTTCTTGTTTCTTTCGGTAAAGTCACGTAGAAGGGAAGTAATAAAATAATAAAAATAAAACATAATAAAACAATTCTCACGACGTTTCGGCTACAACGCAAGCAGCCGTCTTCAGGTGAAGAATGAGACACTACCAAACTAGGAGCTTATATAAAAGCTGCATTGGGGGTTGAAGAGCGCCTTAACAAAAAGAATGTGCATGTGAAGAGGGATTTAGCATATTCATGGAAAATGCGTAGGCGTTGGGCGGGGGGGTGTCAAAGTCATATTATGCCCATGCATTATGCAGGATCAGCAGCAACCAAGGGGGGTGCAGGGATTAGCAGTAACAAAGGAAAGGAATGTTAATGATATGTAGCTGCAGTTACTCAACAACCACGTAGAAAACTAAAGTATAAACTACATAAAAACTAAAGTATAAACTGCATCGCACCATCAGTATACTTACTATACTCTATAATAAGCTGAGTTACTAACAGCAAGTAATACATTACAATTTTACCTCGTAAAAATTCTATAATATGCTTCCATCTAAACCTTATTCTCTTACATCACACGAGCATATACCGTACTATATACTGCCATAGATAAACCCAACATTAAATTATATACTGTATTGCTGTAAACCAACCTATATCTTATACATTTAATATCACACTATGTATTATTCTACACACCCTAATGTGTATCGAAATGGTTTATTACGTCCTTCCAATGATTGCTGAGCCAGAATCCATCTTCTCGGTTAAAGTTGTCTCTGTGTTTGTATATGTGGATCGCCTCATGAACGAATCTCTCATGATAGCCAGATGGCTTGCAGAGAACCTCTGTCTTGGAGAAGTCAATATCATGTGAGCCCACTGAGTTGTAACAGTGATCTGCCACGGCTGAGGTGTTAGTCCTACCGTGTTTCAGGTCAGCTTTATGTTCACGGATGCGGTCCGAGACATGTCGTTTGGTTTCCCCAATGTAACTGCTACCACAGAGGCAACTTAGTTTGTAGACGCCAGGGTACTGTATGTCTGGAACCACATCTTTTACAGACGGTACCAGATCACGGATTTTATGTACTGTGTTGAATCGGACCTGGATCTTGTGTTTAATCAGGATTTTGGAGATCTTTTTTGTGACCCCAGCAAAAGATCTCCAAAATCCTGATTAAACACAAGATCCAGGTCCGATTCAACACAGTACATAAAATCCGTGATCTGGTACCGTCTGTAAAAGATGTGGTTCCAGACATACAGTACCCTGGCGTCTACAAACTAAGTTGCCTCTGTGGTAGCAGTTACATTGGGGAAACCAAACGACATGTCTCGGACCGCATCCGTGAACATAAAGCTGACCTGAAACACGGTAGGACTAACACCTCAGCCGTGGCAGATCACTGTTACAACTCAGTGGGCTCACATGATATTGACTTCTCCAAGACAGAGGTTCTCTGCAAGCCATCTGGCTATCATGAGAGATTCGTTCATGAGGCGATCCACATATACAAACACAGAGACAACTTTAACCGAGAAGATGGATTCTGGCTCAGCAATCATTGGAAGGACGTAATAAACCATTTCGATACACATTAGGGTGTGTAGAATAATACATAGTGTGATATTAAATGTATAAGATATAGGTTGGTTTACAGCAATACAGTATATAATTTAATGTTGGGTTTATCTATGGCAGTATATAGTACGGTATATGCTCGTGTGATGTAAGAGAATAAGGTTTAGATGGAAGCATATTATAGAATTTTTACGAGGTAAAATTGTAATGTATTACTTGCTGTTAGTAACTCAGCTTATTATAGAGTATAGTAAGTATACTGATGGTGCGATGCAGTTTATACTTTAGTTTTTATGTAGTTTATACTTTAGTTTTCTACGTGGTTGTTGAGTAACTGCAGCTACATATCATTAACATTCCTTTCCTTTGTTACTGCTAATCCCTGCACCCCCCTTGGTTGCTGCTGATCCTGCATAATGCATGGGCATAATATGACTTTGACACCCCCCCGCCCAACGCCTACGCATTTTCCATGAATATGCTAAATCCCTCTTCACATGCACATTCTTTTTGTTAAGGCGCTCTTCAACCCCCAATGCAGCTTTTATATAAGCTCCTAGTTTGGTAGTGTCTCATTCTTCACCTGAAGACGGCTGCTTGCGTTGTAGCCGAAACGTCGTGAGAATTGTTTTATTATGTTTTATTTTTATTATTTTATTACTTCCCTTCTACGTGACTTTACCGAAAGAAACAAGAAGAAGATTAATACATAATTCATTTACGTTGCAGTTGATGGACAAATTATTTAATCAGTTAAAAGCAAATTCTGGAAGTGATAGTGAAAATTTCTATTAATTTATAATTAAAGTACAATCTTGCTATTGGCAGTCATTAAAAAAAAAATTAATTCTACAGCAATTTTGTCGTGCTCGCAATTTTAAAACCATACAGCGTGTTCCTAGTCGGAGGTGTGAATGATGGTGTAGTGATGATGACACTGCACCGAAGACCCGGCAAGCTCAGTTCGATTCCTGGCCACAGGTAAAATCAGTGGCTGAGTTAAGATATCTAAAGTTTTCCTTGTGCCCCCCCCCCCTCCCCACACTGACCGGCATGGTGAAGTATGGTCAAACAAACCACACTACCGACGTGACATGGGAAGGCCCTCATTCATCAGTTGATTTTCAAAGGGATGCAATTTTTTATTTAAATATAAAGCATTACATTCATAATTCGTGGAAATGTAACTGATAAAAAATATATTGCTACTTTTTCCATGTGAGATATACGTTTATAAATTGGACTTTACAGAACAGTTCAATTAAACAATAGATACATCCTCATAAATAAATAAACCAAGTGAAATCACATGTTAGAGTATAAAGGATATTAACAAGCTCACCACGAGATTGTGAAAGCCAACTTCGAATTGAGGGTGATTATCGTTGTCGGAGGTTGAGTGACGAAAATGACTTCATGCACATATAGATGAATGTCATGATACCAGTAATACGTTTAAATAATCACTCACATCTCTGCCTTGATACAGGATTTTTATGCAGCCAGCAAGATCGGTCCTCCAGACCCCAAACTGCTCCAAGCATTGGGAATCTGCTATCACAGGTTAGTTGCATAACTGTGATATATCTGCACGTACATCTTGACTATATATACTTGCCTTTTGCTCGTCCAAGGACGTGTGTATTGCAGTAAATCTGAAACTTGCGAGCGAAAAGCAGACCGCGACGTGATATTCATTGCATGAATGCGTGTGCCATTTGTAAGGGCGCGGTGACACAGACCTTTTTCATGTTAAGGTTATAATCCCTTGTTCATCATGACGTCCTTTTTACCTTGATGTCTCAACAGCGTGACGGAGATCGCGTGACGTGAGGGTTCTACCTTTGTAGTGAGGGTTTTAAGTTGACGCTGAGGAGGGGGGAGGAGGCGCCTCGCCCCCCCATGTGGAGGGACATCAGCCGCTAATTATTTTGAATGGGGGGAGGTGGGTGTCTATTTGGAGGACGTCACCCTATAATGATTATTAATGAGGGGGGTTGTTCGATGTGGATTGACGTCACCTGTTCATGATTATTAATGAGGGGGGCTGTTCTATGTGGAGTGACGTCACCTGTTCATGATTATTAATGAAGGGGGCTGGTCGACGTGGAGTGACGTCACGAGCGTTGCACACAGACATTCTTGGCTCATTATAGTAGCTTATAATAATGGGGGGGGGGGGTGCCCATTTAGAGGACGTCACCTGCTCATGATTATTAATGAGGGGGGTTGTTCGATGTGGAGTGATGTCACTTGTGCATGATTATTAGTGAGGGGGGGGGGAGTACTCCATATTAAGTGACGTCACCCGCTCATGATTGATAATGAGGAGAGGTGGGGGGAGGGGTCCATTTAGAGGACGTCACCTGCTCATTACTATTAATGAGGCGGGCTGGTCGATGTGGAGTGACGTCGCCAGCGTTAATGACAGACATTCCTGGGTGATTATCGTAGGTATAATACCTTTTGCAAACAGTCCTTCTCTGCACCCGTTAATAATACGAATGAATATCTTTGGACCGCATGATGTAAGGCGATGTGTCCCGTGGAAGGGTCCCTTAAACACATTTGGCATTCGTACTTAATATGTCGGCAGCATGCATTAGCACAATCCTGTTACAACGTGACATTACAAAACAACATTGCCGCATCCTCAGATGCATATATATACTGTTTGGTTCTTTCGGTAAAGTCACGTAGGTATAAAATTAAATAAATCACGACGTTTCGGGCGCAACACAAGCGTCCATCATCAGGTTTTAAAAGTGCTTTTCCACCTGATTATGGATGCTTGTGTTGCGCCCGAAACGTCGTGATTTATTTTATTTTCTACCTACGTGACTTTACCGAAGGAACCAAAGAGTATGGATTCCTGCAAGTCACGAAAGCTTCAAATCAAGATTGAATATATATTGAAAGTCTATGTCACAACACATTGCATGTTGTTGCACTGCTGCTCACAACACAATGCTATTCATTTTCTTCGCATCATCGTCATCCGGCAGTCCTTTAACTGTGACCTTTTTGAAGTGCCACTTGTATAGAGAACTATTCATATGCAAAACATTTTTGAGAAAAAAATATCCGGATATTTGTTCTGAAATCGTATTATTATTACCACTCCCCAGTTTCCAACTCTTATCCACTATTAATCTGGCCTCTCAAGTTATGCACGATGAAGTGCTATCACTTATTAAATATTCATGGCTCATTGTCTAAAGGTCGGCAATTTTTTATTTCGAGGCAATGTTATCTTGAAATGTTTAGAGTTTTTAATTTATGCATTACTAGTTCATGACGCCTGTCTTTGCCAGGCAAACGTTCTAAATAAATATAATTAACCTGATATGATTTTTTTTATCTACGATCAGACACTAACAACTACTCCAAAAATGTGTAGTTTACCGCAACAAAAACACAAATTGTTGACGACTTTATTCAACTATTCATGAAATGAATGCTCTACGAGATGAAACTTCTATATTTTACCGTTTTCGAATTATTCATATTTGAACATCATAATATGCGTATTTTTTCGTTCAAAACCGCTTGAATCCGAATATCTCAAAAACAATAAAAGAACAATGGTTCTTGCTTTAATTGTATTTGCTGTTTAATGCTCTAGCAAACGAAAAAAACGCTATCGTTTAGATTGAACGGTTTCTGAATGACACGCACACACATGTTTATGGGGTACTTAAGATCAAGATTTGGGAGCCTTAGAATGAATAATCTCGGATTTTCAGATTTGTCCTGTTGCTTGTGTACTAAAAGCTACTTATGTACCAAATTTACGCTTTCTACCTTGGCGGAAAGTACCCTAGAGATTTTTGAGATGTATATACAGATTAAGGTCTTTATTATATACTAGCCTTTTGCCCGTCCAAGGACGGGTGTATTGCAGTACATCTGAAACTTGCAAGCGAAAAGCAGACCGCGACGTGATATATTCATTGCATCAATTCGCGTGCAATTTGTAAGGGCGCGGTGACACAGACCTATTTCATTTTAAAGTTATAATCTCTTGATTATCATGACGTCCTTTTTACTTTGATGTCTCAACAGCGTGCCGGAGATCGCGTGACGTGAGGGTTCTGCCTTTGTAGTGAGGGTTGTAAGTTGACGCTGAGGAGGGGGGAGGAGGCGCGTCGGCCCCCCATGTGTAGTGACGTCACCCGCTAATTATTATGAATGGTGGGGGGGGTGTCCATTTGGAGGACGTCACCTTATAATGATTATTAATGAGGGGGGCTGGTCGACGTAGAGTGATGTCACGAGCATTGCACACAGACATTCTTGGCTCATTATAGTAGGTTATAATAATGGGGGGATTGTACATTTGGAGGACGTCACCTGTTCATGATTATTAAAGAGGGGGGCTGTTCGATGTGGAGTGACGTCACTTGCACATGATTATTAGTGAGGGGGGAGGGTGCTCCATGTGGAGTGACGTCACCCGCTCGTGATTATTAATGAGGAGGGGTGGGGGGGGTCCATTTGGAGGGTGTCACCTGCTCATGAATATTAATGAGGAGGGCTGGTCGAGCATTAAGGACGGACATTCCTGGGTGATTATAGTAGGTATAAGATACAAACAATATTTATAAATATAAATGTCAAGGAGGTCACCAATTGCTGGGCCCTTATTGCTGCTGCTGTTGTCAGCCTGTAACTCGTAGGCTTTCGCGACTGATATTATTCATTCTTCAAAATTCTGGGCAAAACACCTGATGAAGCTGGTTGTAATCACCAGTCAAACGTCGTGCTCCAATTGTTAATGTTGTGAGATTTACTCTCGAACACACCAGTGTGCTAAATTCGTAACTAATTTCCACCTTTTGTTTACGTGGCAACCCTTGCTAATTGGCTGTGTCAGGTGGTGGTGGTGGTGGGTTAATGACACATTTTTATTTACGTGATCTCACCCAAAAACAAAACCTTTATTATAAGCCTGTAACTTCCCACTGCTGGGCAGATGCCAACCCCATTCTCTTCTACTCCTTCCTTTCCTTTATAATTGCTGCCCAGTAAGTGGCCTCAGATTCTCTTTTCATTTATTATCGCTGCCATCTATTTCCCATGCCATCCTCTGCTTCCCTTGGCACGTCTCGCTGCCCGCTGTTATTAAGCAGCAAAACCCTTTTCGTCCCAAGGCTCGGCCGCGTGAAAGAAGCCGTCGCTGCATTTGGCGAAGCCACGAAGGCGGACCCCTTCTACGTGAGCGCGTACGTTGGGCGCGGCAACGCCCTCATGAACTACCGCCACGCGTCCGGCACCAGGGCGGCTCAGCGTGACTACCTCCGAGCGCTGCGTCTCGACCCGCTGAGCGGCCACGCCAGGGTTAACCTGGCCTACAGCCTTCAGGTTGGAACGAAGCAACAGTCGGAGCCGTCGTGTTGGTTTTACAATTCTTCTTCTTGTATTGGCTGATGTAGCTGCTAAACAATGACTGCAATTTCACGTTCAGGTGGTCCATACGAAATAAGGTTAACGATAGCTCATTATCATCAATACTTACGTGTTGATTACAACCAACAATCCACTTCTGGATGAGGGCCTCCCCATTCCACGGTAGTCGTGGGGGTTATTTTACTGTGCTTGTTAAAGGTGGGGATCGCATACGTGGTAGCATAGAAGTAAAGTACGAACATTTTTATTTCTGCACTCCCCACTACATGGCCCTACAGCAACCTATTACAAACTTTTTTTTCCAAGCACTAGGCTCAACCAAAAATAGTGCTTAAAGAACATAGGCAAAGTTGTAATCCGAGACCTCCGATGAAGAAATTGTATTATATTTTATGGGCGTCTTGCGACGGTACTACTTTTGTTATACGGTACAGATCTTAGTTACAATCATGGTTACACTGGTCGCGATACTAACAGCGAGTATCGGCAGGCGTGCTCTACATGTTACAGATGTAGTGGGTTCTAATCAGGCGCACACCAAGACTGGGAGTTTATTCTCTAACACAACCAACACTATTCAATGTTCCAAGTACTCTTTGGTTCTTTCGGTAAAGTCACGTAGGTAAAAAAAAAATAACTAAATTCAATGTTTCAAGGTTAACTATGTACATTCCGAGCGACTATGTACATTACAGGTTAACTACATAAGATAGTGGCCACCGTTCCTAACCACCTAACCACTTTAGCGGACTTTATATGGTTGAACCAGAACTGCCAACACGCCGTCGTGTCTCTGCGTACTGAAGAGCGAAGATCAGAGAAGACGACTTCCTCCCGGGTTGAACAGCCACGCTCCTTCTTCTTGGTTCTTTCGGTAAAGTCACGTAGAAGGGAAGTAATAAAATAATAAAAATAAAACATAATAAAATAATTCTCACGACGTTTCGGCCACAACGCAAGCAGCCGTCCTCAGGTGAAGACCTGGTCTGTCGGGGAGACAGCGTCGGACGCTGTCTCCCCGACAGACTTGGTCTTGCGTTGTGGCCGAAACGTCGTGAGAATTATTTTATTATGTTTTATTTTTATTATGTTATTACTTCCCTTCTACGTGACTTTACCGAAAGAACCAAGAAGATGAATCCCTGCAGTCACGAAAGCTTTAATCGAAGCCATGCTCCTTCTCGGGGCTCGGCTTATATCTCCTGTGACGTCACCGAGCTCCGCCTCTGGTCACGCCCCCCTTCTCGATCCTTCGCGAAGACTCTGGGTCCACATCACGTGGCCCACTCGCCCCCTTTTGGAGGCCCCTGTGCCCCCTCCTCCGGTCACGTGCTCTTGCCGGTTTATCCAGAGTGTCATGTCCTGATCCGACCTCCGTGACATCTGGAGTCTGCCCCCTAGTGAGCCCTTGTGTATAGTACACCCACTGTAGCCATAGAACGGCCCATTTATGTCGTTACGCAGGTATAGGGAATCGGTTGAAAACGTACAAAAAACGAGATGTTAATTCATAACCAGGTGAGCGCTCATTGAGATTAAAAGTCTATTGTTAATGTCTCTTCTAATAATGCACAATTGCACTTATTTTTCTAAAGATTGTGAGAAATTATGGATTTTAATTAACCTCTTTTTTCTGATGTTTTAAAGAAAGCTATGTACCGCATCAGCTCTTGACACGTTGTTTCACACCACATTTTGATAATTAGTAATGGTATGCACTATTTCTGTAGGTGTATTGTACTTTTAAAAACACCATAAACCACCAAAATACCAGATAAATTATAGCTACATTCTAGAAAATTGGAACATGCTAATGGCTGATAAAATATAATTGCAAAAAGGAATTATTCAAGCTTTACTACCAGGCAGTCAATGAAAAAGTTGAGAAATATTTTATATCCAACAATGTTCGAGCATATTGTGAGAGTCTTGGAATTTAACTTTTTAAATCACAACATTAACAATGACAATGTAAAGCTCATAGGATTTTACCAGCATTGTATATGAGCATAACTGCAGTATAGATGATCCGTACTTAAATTGTACAAAATTAGCAGCACACCGACCTAGAAATCATTTTACTTAAGAATCTAAAAGCTTCCCCCTGTTTCTTTGCAGGCGAATGGAAGGTTTCAGAAGGCTTGGAATCATTTCACAACAGCAATTGAGCTGGACACAAGATGCGCTGAAGCATTTGAGGGCCGTGCAGTTGTAAACCTCCAGATGAACAGCACGTTTGCCGCACTGCAAGACATCAATACAGCCGTGAAGGTGGAAGTTTGCCATTCCTCATATGGATTGTACATCGCCTTTGACACATTGAACTCAGAAGCATAAACTCGTGGTGATTATTAGAACTTATGATGTTTGAAAAGTGTCAAGAGGTTGCTCAAAGTAACGCTTGTGCAATACATATGTTTTGTCAGTCACCGTGATTATCAAGGCATTTCAATATTAATTCCATACTATAATGAGCCAAGAATGTCTGTGTGTTCCGCATGTGACGTCACTCCACGTCGACCAGCCCCCCTCATTAATAATCATGAACAGATCTTGACTTAAAGCTTTCGTGACTGCAGGAATTAATATTGTAATGTGTTGCGTTCTTTCAACCTATCTACGTAAATTTACCGAAAGACCCAAAGAATAATCATGAACAGGTCACGTCCTCCACATGGACCACCCCCCCTCATTAATAATCATGAGCAAGTGACGTCACAACACATCGAACAGCCCCCCTCATTAATAATCATGAACAGGTGACGTCCTCCAAATGGACACCCCCCGCCCCTGATTAATAATAATTAGCGGGTGACGTCACTCCACATGGGGGGGCGAGGTGCCTCCTCCCCCCTCCTCAGTGTCAACTTACAACCCTCACTACAAAGGCAGAACCCTCACGTCACGCGATCTCCGTAATGCTGTTGAGACATAGAAGTAAAAAGGACGTCATGATGAACAAGGGATTATAACCTTAAAATGAAATATGTCTGTGTCACCGCGGCCTTACAAATTGAACGCGAATTGATGCAATTAATATATCACGTCGCGCTCTGCTTTTCGCTTGCAAGTCTCAGATTTACTGCAATACACCCGTCCTTGGACAGGCAAAAGGCTAGTATATATTATATGCACATGTGAAGAAATAAGTGTCGTGCATATGGGCCTTCAAAATAAGTCAATCGTTAAATAGATGTATTGTGTGCGTTACATTATAATAAATAATGGATTGTTATGAAGTATGTATGGTACGCCCTCTCTAAACACAATAAAACCAATAATAAATTTTATAAACCTATCTATTGCTTATGATCATGATTGCAGCAACAATTTAAATATTAATAAGTTAAGGATGCACCTTTAAAAAGTAATGTACTTTGCATTACAATAAAAGTACCATATTTAATGAGCTCATAAATTATTTTATACAATCCTTTGCCTATATCTTAATCAGTATAACTCAGGGAGAGCGCTATTTTTTGTTGCCAAAAAATGTACTTGGACACGTGTTGCTTCAATGGTCATCGCAACTGACCCGGGCGATACGCGCGTGTGCACGGTTTCACGCCCCTCCCGAACGGACACCGCGGCGCAGCTGGGGAAGTCGGCGGAGGTGCTGACAAACCGCGGCGCGATCCACCAGGGTTCAGGCGATGTGGTGAGCGCCATGCGCGACTACCAGGCAGCCATCGTCGCCGATCCCAACTACGCCCTCGCGTACTACAACGCCGCCAACGTGTACCTGCACGGCCGCCAGCTGACGCAGGTGGTCTTGACGCTGCAAACGAGGCACCCTTTTGTTACGATCACGTCCCGGAGCCAGACGACACACTCGGTGTTTCGAATAACAGAGGGCTCATTTTGTGTCTCGGCAAGACGGCCGAGCAACATTGCCTTGGCCATTTGACCCATTGTTGTGAATGGAGACGGGACAACAACAACAACAACAACAAAAACAGTGCACGAATCTGGCTCTGCAAACGTTTGTTTCAACATGAATCATTCGTGTAAAAGTTGAATTCAGAATGAAAATAAATGTGGTTGGGATGGAAAATTTTCAGTTTGCAATAAGACTTTGTTCTGCCGTGAAGTTTTAATGAATACACACTTTCAGTATATCAGAGAATAGAAAAGAAGAGAATAATAATATAGCTATTATGGGTTCCCTTTTATGGAACACTTCGAGAATTTGAACATCTAATTGGAGTGATTGTAAATTGCAAAGAACTGCACACTCTTGTACATAATGTACCAATTATCACAATTAATTTTGGGCGAGCAATGTTTCCAAACTTTTAATAGAATAATATGCAGTCCTTTGTTCATTGAATGACGGATGAAGGCCTCCCCACACTGTCGTTCATGGGTATTATTTTAACAATACTTCCAAGTCCCAATTCAGATCAAATTTACCACCGATGTTAGCCATGGAAAGGAATCAAAGTCGTGTCGCTGGCTACTTAGTACGGTGCGCTCACCACTGCACCACCACTTGCCACTTTCAATATAGTGCATGCTGAATATGATCAATTAAATTATACGTGTGTACTCACATGCGTGCAATACAGTTTTGATACACTTTTGAGGGTAAAGTAAAATGTAATAAAAACTCAGGAAGCTTTCGTCTGCAATATTTTTTATTGCAAATGCTTCTTTAAGATCCTGCCGTGGTATAACGGTCACCTACACTTTGACTTTCGACCCAGAGCCCACCGGTTGGATATCCCAGCATGGTAGTTGAAACAATTGGCTATTTTGCTAAGGGAAAACAAAAAAAGATTAGGCATTAACCTTTCTGGAAATAGTACAGGTTTTAAGATGTTCAAACACCAAAATAAACATCAAGGCTGCATTAACCACACATGCGCTCCTCTGATTAGCACCACGGTTTGGCTACGTGCGGTACGAAAGAAGTTTAACATATCTTCTTGGTTCTTTCGGTAAAGTCACGTAGAAGGGAAGTAATAAAATAATAAAAATAAAACATAATAAAATAAAATAATTCTCACGACGTTTCGGCTACAACGCTTTAAATCGAAGTTTAACATAATACGTGCAAAACATGCAAACAAATATACTTTGAGTATGTGTGCATTGTCGTTGAAACTGATTGGCCTACACAAGAGACAGCCTTCTATCGGACGTTAGCATCTTGGTACTGACAAAAAGGGTCCCATAGATACGTTTGCTAAACCCCCCCCCCCCGACTCAGTAGTATGCGGGTACACCACAGACGATCAGCAGTTCACAATGTGGTGAGATAAACTGTGGGTAATCCCTTACTCTTTCAAGATGTCAAGCCAGTGTAGAAGAGTAGGCCAAATACAGTAAGCAATTTCAGTGCTGCGACTTTTCCACGTATTTAACTTGATGACAACAAGTTTTTGCAGACAGTTCATGTCGTCGTGACCAACCACTACTGTCGTAATATTAAAATAAATGTATTTCGTTTGCGAAAATAATTATATTAAAAAGAATCACATCACAATCAAGTTGTTTAAAAAAACACGTGTATTACGGATAGAAGTACCTTAACTAAAGTACGTTGTCTAAAATAAAAATTGTAATTGTTTGTAAAAAAAACAATGAGTTGTACTAATAAACAAAATCAATTGAATATAACAATTGATTGCCATTCATAGATTGTTGTTATTGTTCATGTGTTTTTTAAAGCTGCTATTCATATTATACAATAGATACGAGATATACCTGCAGATGGAACATCTTCAATTTGGCATTTTTATTCAATTGAGAGTGGCGTCCATGGTGCAGTGGTTGTCACACTGCGCTACGAACCTGTTAGCCTGAGTTCGCCGTAGCTAACATCGGTGGCAAGTAATATTTGTAATCAATCCAAGGGCCCCCTGCACCAATACTCAGGCTGGTGAGGTATGGCCTAACAACCCCCATAACTGAAAGTCCCGGGGAAGCATTCATCCAGCGTCGTATTGACACTGCTGTAAATACTTATACATGATAAGTTAGTGATGAAGGATGGCTATGGCGGGCTAGAGTGGAGGTTTGAGCTCCCACACCTCCGATCAGCACAGTTGGATACGTACGGTGTGAAAGAAGTTAAACAAACATACATACATACAAGCCTTAACCAATGAAGCCGGCTCATTCTATTTCGGTACAATTCCCCATTACTGCTATGATGGAATACATCTGGGCATTGATTTATACTTTAAAGTTAATTTAAGTTAAACACATGTCAATGGCCCGCTGTGTTTTTTATTATATTAATTGTACATCAACATATGAAATCTGATATATGCCTCGCATTGAATTGATGCACAAGCACAGCATATGATGACCCATCTTGTGCTAATGTTCCCCTGTAGTAATTGAACCTGTGTGTGTGTGTGACCTTCACCACTGCAGGCGCTAGATTACTATGACCGAGTGGTGGAACTGGATCCGATGGATGAATGTGCCTTCCTGAATCGGGCCATCGTCCGCTCGCTGAGCGGCGATGCCACGGGGGCTCTAGCTGACTTCTGCAAGGCCGCCACGCTAAGCCCACAAACGTCACACATCTACTTCAATCGTGCGAACCTTCACTGCATGCTCGGTCAGTACAAACGAGCGGAAGCAGACTACACTGAAGGTAAGATTCCGCAGACAGAAAAGAAATCCATTCCAATGCTTTTATTGTTTTATATTTCTATTATTGTATTGTTTCCTTTCTACGTGAAAGAACCAAGAATATCATTCCACTGCTGTTTTCACTTTTTTTATTCACAATTCTGTGGATTTCAGTGTATTATTTATTAGGATTGCGAGTAACCTTTCTTATTTGTATAGGATTGTGACTGAAACCGTTATTTCAGTAAACAACGTTGAAAGCCACTTTAAAAACTAACCTCACTCCATACGAGTTTTTCAAACATTGCTCACAGTCGTCTGCTCTAGGAAAGTCCTTGAACCGTCAAGCGGGCTGGCGATGCAGGTTTCTCTTGAAAAATAAATACTTTAACCAAGTGCCAATTCACATGTTTGAGAATGAAGAAAGCTTGTGTTTGCAGCAACGACCAAATGTCTATGGATGTAACCTTGCTCTAGTTTAGGCGATATAAATGTATTCATTGGCCTATTGATGTGACACAACCATCACATCACCATACATAATGGAGACATTTAGGAGGGAAGCTAAGGGCATACATGAAATCTGTGCGTTGTATAAATATTGTGGCTTTCAAAATGTGTTTATCCGAATATAGCTCATGTATTGTAAACATTAACACTGTTGTATAGATTTAAATTAAAGTCTTTAAAAATAAAATAATAATTTGTAGTCCTTTGTCAGGCCACTGCTGAATGAAGGCCTTCCCATTCAGTGTCATTAATGGCTTTGCCCTTGTGTTACAGCTCTGACCCTTCAGCCGCACGATGCAGTTACCTACTTGTGCAGGGCAGAAGTCCGTGGCAAGCTGGGGAAAAAGGAGGATGCGATATCCGATTATAAACTTGCGGTGGAGATACAGACGGGGAGAAAAGAGTCACTGAAAATGTGATTCTCCTTTTTTTTACATTGACAGTGATCACAAGTTGAAGCCTATAGAAACTATATTCTTAGGTTTTTTTCGGTAAAGTCACGTAGGTAAAACATCAAAATTAATAAAAATAAAATAAAACAAAAATCACGACGTTTCGGAGGCAACACAAGTTTCCGTCAGCAGGTGGGACCGTCACAGCCGGATTAGCTGCATCAAGTGAGGCAATGATTCAAGATGTAATCCCTTAACAACTTGCTTGGCACTTGGTTAACAACTTGCTTGTTAAGGGATTACATCTTGAATCATTGCCTCACTTGATGCAGCTAATCCGGCTGTGACGGTCCCACCTGATGACGGAGACTTGTGTTGCCTCCGAAACGTCGTGATTTTTGTTTTATATTATTTTTATAAATTTTGATGTTTTACCTACGTGACTTTACCGAAAAAACCTAAGAATATGAATCCTTGCAGTCACGAAAGCTTCAAATCTACAACCTATAGAAACTATATTCTTGGGTTTTTTCGGTAAAGTCACGTAGGTAAAAAAATTAAAATTAATAAAAGTTAAATGAAAATAAAATACAAATCACGACGTTTCGGAGGCAACACAGGCTTCTATCAAGTACTTGATACAGCAAGTGTGCTGTGACGGTTCCACCTGAAGACGGAAGCTTGTGTTGCCTCCAAAACGTCGTGATTTTTATTTTATTTTTATTTTACTTTTATTAATTAAAAAATTTTACCTACGTGACTTTACCGAAAAAACCCAAGAATATGAATCCTTGCGATCACGAAAGCTTCAAATCTAGAACCTATAGAAACTTGTTACTGGTATTTGACCCACATGGTGACACGTCTTTAAAGTCCTTCAAAAAAAAAGAACAGAACCCCCCCCCCCCTCGAAAGAAAATCAATTATGATCCCTGTGGGAAAACACAGAATATCATTGGACCAGTAAATTACCTTGAACCTTTGATCTTAAGCCATCATGTATACGGATACACCTGGAGACAGATACACGTGTCCGTATAGAATGGCTTTGAAAGCAAAGTAAGCTTTATTGACACTCATTCCATATACCAGTACGTTCAGGACATCACCTTCAAGTATTTCTAATTCACGTCAATTTAACACTCGACATGTTATATTTATTTTTATAATTTGCTTTCATTAAAGAAGGCCCTTACCACATTACAATAGCATCTGCATGTAATCCTAAAGACCGAGATCACTTTTATTTACACTGGTGTAACATTTGCACAATAACATACGCCAAAACATGTGTCAAATACTAAACATGGTTATAAGACCACTGTAGTTGCTAAGTTAATGTTTATTGCCAAAGAGGCGTGTTGTCAATTAAATGTAAAAAAAATACTCTTACGAGAATACTGTATTTCACATTACGCCCTCGGTTTGTTCACTTTTCTAGCATAATTACCCTTGATTGCAATCGTGCCTTTATATATAGAGGGTATATATGTTTTCGCTCTGCATGAAATACTCATTTCATTTTCGATTTCCAATTTTTTTTCATAAATTTGCTTTACCCACTGACATTTCGCAACTCAAGGCGGAGTTTAATTGGAAGTGGTTCATTTTAGTCCAAGGGTGACTCTCGTTTCATTTCGGTAATTTACAATTTTATTTGCAGTGTTAAATAAACGCGTATTTGTGCACAGTAAGTTTAGTGTTGTGGCTAATTTGGTTAGAATGCGTGCAATTATATTGTTTCTACACATAAGGTCACTAAAAGGGTGTTGCCTTAAATTGGCTATTAAGAAGCATGAATTTAAATGAGTGGAAATGAGACTTTGATATTCATTTGTTAATCAAATAATTTGACTTGAAAAATCTAACTGCTTTATAAAATTTACAGTTGTGAGTGCATTAGCGTTCACAAGTTGGTGGCTAAGGACGAGGTTTCATGAATTGCAACTATTATGATAATAGGTTTTTCTCCTTTTTTCTGGCAACAAAACAGGTGTTAAGATATTCTTGGTTTTTTCGGTAAAGTCACGTAGAAGGGAAATAATAAAAGAATACAAATATAAAACAATCTTATTTTATTATTTCCCTTCTACGTGACTTTACCGAAAGCACCAAGAATATGAATCCCTGCAGTCACGAAAGCTTTAAATCAAAACAAAACAGGTGCTAAGATGTTAAAACACCAAACTGAAACCTTTTACAAGGAATCATGTCTGCATTAACCACAATGCTTGTGGTCAGAATGCAAACAAAAACATACTCTGATAATATATGCATTGTCCTTGAAACTGATTGGTCCACACCAGAGACAGCTTTCTTTTGAGCCTCGTCCTCTGGTCTAACACCGTTTGAGACGAGGCACTTGCAGTGTCACCTACGTCTTTATCAGTTCATTGAGACAAGCATCGTCAATTTGCGTGACTTTATGGCGACACGAGGGTGGTGGCTAACACCGATATGCAGAGCCATTTGTCACTGCACTGCTCTATGGAGGCCTCTCCCTGGCCTGTTTGGAAACACGCGGCACAAACTCCGCGTGACGCGAATTTCAGCAGCATGGGGTTCAAGCACTGTGCCTAACAAACACCGGATCAACAAGCCCACCACCACCAACACACTGGCTTACACAACACACAGCTCATCAGCGAGCCCACCACCAACACACTGGCTTACACAACATACAGCTCATCAGCGAGCCCACCACCAACACACTGGCTTACACAGCTCATCAGCGAGCCCACCACCAACTCACTGGCTTACACAGCTCATCAGCGAGCCCACCACCAACTCACTGGCTTACACAACATACAGCTCATCAGCGAGCCCACCACCAACTCACTGGCTTACACAACATACAGCTCATCAGCGAGCCCACCACCAACACACTGGCTTACACAGCTCATCAGCGAGCCCACCACCAACTCACTGGCTTACACAACACACAGCTCATCAGCGAGCCCACCACCAACTCACTGGCTTACACAGCTCATCAGCGAGCCCACCACCAACACACTTCCATCTTCCACAAGCAATGGACGGTGCTTAAAACCCACGAAAGATGTGGATACCTAAGAGGTGGAAAACGAAACACGCTCCGGTGTGCTGCTGCTGCTGCAAACACCAACCACAGACCGTCTAGACCTTCGCACGACCCCAAGCATACATTTGAAGGTAATGTGTATCTGCAATTCACCAATTCTCAAACAAAGCAAATGAGTGGCTAAAGTACTGAGAACTCTAATTTGTATGTGTTGCTTTTCATTGGTCATACGAAGCCATCATCAGTGACATAATGTCTATTTTTGCGTTGGGTGTTGCTCGGGTGAGCTCGCAAGCTCAGCAATAGAACGGCGAGAGAAGCGGTATCCAAGTCTGCTGGTCACGATGGTCTCTGCAAGGCCACGCGGAATGGTCCACGAAACTGCCGTCGGTTCGTAAGATTTAGAGTCGCTTTAATTTGTTAATGGTGCACGATGGACAGCAGACGAATTGTGAGGGTTGCCTGCGAGTGGTCTGCGGGGCGCAGAGAGGTTGGGCTGGAGTATTGTTACTCACAACCTACCTTTGCCGTGCCAGTGATGTTTTTTTTCACTCGTTGTGAAATTGGTACATTGCATCATCGCCTCGCGTAATTTCTACATGCCCACCACGGCAATCTCCAAGATGCGAGGGGAAGCGTACGGTCTAAAGCTACTGCTGTGTTATTTTACGAGATTAAACGGGCTGCTTAGCAAACATAATTAAATCTGAACATTTAATATGGATTTCAGTTGTGAAATGTATTGCAAATGAAATGAATTAATTCATCTTGTCATGGTTCATGGAGACAAATATTATCAATTTACATTTTCCTCACATCGTGTGGGGACTTTAAAAGCCCAGCTGGCGAGTGTGGAATGCAATCGTGTTAATACCCCAAGTGTGCTACACCCAGAATTTCACATATAGATTATGAAACTGATGCCGTGCGCTATATAAATGTCAGCCTTAAAAAAAAAAGAACAGAGAATGACATTTCATTAAGTGTATCGAAATATTTGCAGTGAAAATACGATTTGTTCCATGAGGCTAATCGTCATTAAATCCCACGTATGTAACATTTGGAGGTGTCTACATCAAACATTTGTAAAGTACCGGGGATTCATTTCAATGTTATTCGAGTGCATGAAAGGTGATCATTGTGTCCAGCGTCCTATGCTCAGCCAGAGCACAGATTTTAACTCAACCCATAATCAAGTTATAGCGCCCAGCTGATCAAAACCAAGATCTTGGAAGCCAGATGTCAATGGCTTTACTTTCTGCATGTGATATGAATGCCATTAAACCGCTTGCATATCTCTCTCTTTTGTATTGATTTCGACTGAGTAGAAACTAAAAATCGATGCCTAAATTGGGGACTTGTATGAATTTGACAGCAACTAATGCTTTAAATGTTTGATGAAAGTGTTGCTGCCCATTGCAATATCATCTGCCACGACGACGACGACGACGACACCTTGCACATTAACAAATTATAATTTGAATTACCTTCAGACAATGACTCTACTTTGCTGCAGTTGATGGTGTGACATTCGACAAGTAAATTAAATAAAAGCTTTACACCTGGCAGAGAGAGGGTGCATTATCTGACGTGCTTATTACACTTTTTACACTTAAATGGCGCGATTGCGTGCAGCCTATCAGCATCTCATCAGCGCTTGCCCACACGTATGTATGTCTGCACCACACATTAGTTGACGCCACACACAGCCTGCATGCGTTACACTGGAGGGAGACCGCATTGCGCTTTCAGATGCGCTTCTGCGGCCGTCTGGAACGCTCTTCTTTCCGACAGGAAAACACTGGAGCTATGCACTTTTAAATCATCATCTAGATTTTTTGAAAACTCATTTATTGAGAACTGATTTTTTTTTGCGTTTAGTTTGTTGTCCTTCCCCCGCACCTCCGATTAGCGCGTTCGGCTACGTGCGGTGCAAAAGAAGTTCAACGTACATACACAGACTGCTGCCAAGCTGAGTGTACCGGTTGGCAGCACTCCACGCCTGCTGTGGACGCGTGCCCTGAATTTACCCTGCGGATCGTTGTGCGCGCGCAATGCATCGCTCTGCACGTGGCATCTTGTTTGTGGGGTGGGGGGGAGGTTAACACAGCAGCACCAAGACTGAGCAATCCAAATAAGTGTCCTTGACCTTGACATTCACGTTGGCCTAATTTACAAAGAAAAAACAAGGAAGGATATCGTAAATGTATTTTCACGGCAGAATACTTATTTTCAGCCACGAGTGCCTTGGCTATCCTTGATGAGGATGGGGGGGAGGGGGAAGTCGAGTGATGAGGCCTTTACTCCCGAGACGACACAAAGTTAAACGCACGGGCTTCCACACGCAGGATGGACACGTAGCAAACGCGCAAAGTTCCACTGACTTATTAGAAACTGTCACAGCTAAGTACGATTCAAACTTTCGGATTTGCAGTTTGATAAGTGAACGTTTTGATAATACTCATAGCAACACGAGTATTGAAGTATGTAGATGTACATTAAAGTTATACGAATAAATACGAAGTACCTGAACATAAAGTTAGTGGACATCATCCATGCCTCCATGGGTTCATTAAAATATATGTTTAGGCTGCTTTCGGGACAACTCAAAAGTTCATGCAAATTGTTTAATTCTCATGCAGTCGATATGGCTGGGGCGAAATGCCAACTACCTCGTTTAGTACACAGGTGGTCGTGGGTTCGATCCCGAGTTTGCAAGTTTCTCTCCCCGTGGTCGCGATCATTTTTTTCCAGGGCCTCCGGTTTTTCCCTCCACATGTTTTGAATCAACGTCACGCGTTTAGAGTTCTTGGCCGCTATAAATTCCCACGTGATAAGCCACTTCGTTGAGCTATCATTTGTGAAAAAGATCTACGTAGGCCTTACCTGGTAAAATAAGTGTTGTAAAATGTTTAAGGCCTCGACACAGAGGCGTTGTTTCTCTGTGTGCCTATGTGTGTGTCTCTCTCTGTGTGTCTCTGTGTTATCTCTCTCTACTTATGTGTCTGTCTGTGTGTCTCCGTGGCTGTGTTTTGTCTCTCTCTCAAATTTAGCAATCTTTGGAAGAACGATAATCAACCAGGTAGGGTGTTGGCTGTTATGTTAGCCGACTCTCTGTGTTGTATTGCATTATATTTCTAAGTTTACTCTGGTTTTTTCGGTAAAGTCACGTAGGTTAAAAGAAAATAAAACAAATCAAGTGATACAGCAATTTTGCTGTGACGGTTTCACCTGAAGACGGAAGCTTGTGTTGCCTCCGAAACGTCGTGATTTAATTTGTTTCTTTTAACCTACGTGGCTTTACCGAAAAAAGCAAAGAGTATGAATCCTTGCAGTCACGAAAGCTTCAAATCTAGAATTTCTAAGTTTACTAGGTTTTTTTCTCTTTCATTTGTACCTGATGATGATTGCTTGTGTTGCAATCAAAACGTATGCTATTATTTAATGTATTTTTTCTTTCTACGTGACTTTACCGAAAGAACCAAAGAGTGTACAGTCAGTGTTGAATGTTTAGGATATCAGGTGATTTCCTGATTTTTTTTTAAACACGTAGCGCGCAATGTTTCTTTTCAAATCTCCACGAAACTTTCTCTCCACTGCTCGCGGAGCGGTCGTTTAAAGCCCACGATCCCGCAAACCCGAGTTCGATTCCCCACCACGACGGACATCACCAGTGCTAATTGATATCTTGACGCAGTCCGGACCTCCCCATGGTCGACTCAACCTCAAACGCGTCGGGTATTTGAGCACGTCATCGTCATCATCATCAGCAGCAGCGCTTGGGAGGCGACGCCTTGAGGGAATGATGCAGCGGCGGGATGATGATCACGTTCAGCGCGCCCTGTTTTATAAGAAACAATAAATTAGTTGCTTGCCCTGACTTAAATGTCAACGTCCCAGTTAAGGTAATCCGGTACAGTCGGCCTACAGACCGCACCAACAACCCAATATAGCGTTCAGTCCACAATAGTAACAACAACGTAACAGCAACAACAACAACAGTAACTACCGTAGTACGATACAACGAAACAAAAGAGATAATCGTTGTTGCCAGTGGCAACTCGAGCAAGCAAGATACCTTGGAGATGGCGTGCTCGTCATTTCCGCGCATGTGCCGCGCGGGGAATAAATGCCGAGGGGGGGGGGGGGTGGTGGTGGTGGCCGCGCACCTGAGAACCGCGGACGACGGCAAGAGTACGGCAGCGCTCCCCACACCCTCCACGCCGCCGCCGCCAATTTAGAGTGTCCAGGGTCTGGGCGTCGCTACCCGCTGGCTACCCGCTCGCTCGCTCGCACACGACGACAGCAGCGCACGGGGCGACTTGGAGGACCACGCAGGGCGACACGGACGACGTCCACGGGGACCCGAGCGAGCGGTGGCTGGCCGCGAGGTGCGCACGCGAGAGCCGTAGCGGGAAGGGGAAGGAACGCACGCGCGTGCCCGTGTGCGCGCGCGCGTGCCCGTGTGCGCGTGCTCTGGATCTCGCCACAGCCTTTTGCGCCACACGGTTAATTGAAGGCGCGTTGCAGCGCGGCGCATTGCCTTAATCAATTTCCACCGTTTTTTTGGTGTTAAATTGTCGGTGTGTTCATTCACTCGATTGTGTGCGCGCGCGCGTGCGTGTGTGCGTGTGCGCGTAGAGAAGGCACGAGTTTTGGTTATTCAGCACCCATCGGAGGATTTATTTAATGCTGCGGGGGGGGGGGGGGGGCTTGGGGTTAGTCCGGAGAGAAAGAGAGAGGAGAGCGCGAGACACAGCCTCGGCTCGCTCGTAAGCAGCGGAGGGCGATGGTGCCACGGACCTTGACAAACATGAGTTGGGCGAACGTCACGAGCCACGGCTACAACGACACGGACAGCGACGCCAGCGCCGTGGTCATCCCCTTCATCTACGCGGTCGTGTGCTTCGTGGGACTCCTGGGCAACTCCATGGTGATCTACGTGATTTTCCGCTACGCCAAGATGAAGACGGCCACCAACATCTACATCCTGAACCTGGCCATCGCCGATGAACTCTTCATGCTCAGCGTGCCCTTCCTGGCCACGTCCGCGGCCATGCACCACTGGCCCTTCGGCTCGCTGCTCTGTCGCCTCGTGCTCAGCGTGGACGGCATCAACATGTTCACGAGCATCTTCTGCCTCACGGTGCTGAGCGTGGACCGCTACGTGTCCGTGGTGCACCCCATCAAGGCGGCGCGCTACCGGAGGCCGAGCATCGCCAAGATGACCAACGTGTGCGTGTGGGGTCTGTCGCTCGTGGTCATTCTGCCCATCATCATCTTCGCCGACACCGAGACGAGCGGCGGCGGCGGCGACGACGACGACGCCGACGCGACCGACTCGGGCCCCGTGGTGTGCAACCTCATGTGGCCTCACGCCAACTGGTCGGTGGCGTTCATCATCTACGTGTTCCTCGTGGGCTTCCTGGTGCCAGTGGTGGCCATCTGCCTCTGCTACCTGCTCATCATCGTCAAGATGCGCGTCGTCGCCCTCAAGGCGGGCTGGCAGCAGCGGCGCAGGTCCGAGCGCAAGATCACGCGCCTCGTCGTGATGGTGGTCACCGTGTTCGTCATTTGCTGGATGCCCTTCTACGTCATCCAGATCCTCTACGTGTTCGGCGTGCCCACGGACCCCACGGTCACGCAGCTCTTCGTGGTGCTCAGCTACGCCAACAGCTGCGCCAACCCCATCCTCTACGGCTTCCTCTCGGACAACTTCAAGCGCTCCTTCCAGAGGACGATCTGCTTGCGCTGGATGGACGGCGGCATGGAGGAGCCGGTCGATTACTACGCCACGGCGCTCAAGAGCAAAGCCTTCAGCCGCAACGACCTGAGCCTGCCCGAGGCGGTGGAGGCGAACAACGCCGTCTACCGCAACGGGACTTGCGCTTCACGCACCACCACGCTGTGAACTCGGGGGGTGAGCCCCTCTGGGTGCCGCGGACTCACGGAGTTGCGGTGGAGGAAAGGGGGGGGGGCGGCTGTGGGATGGGGGGTGGGTCGACCCCGTGACAGCTCCCACACACGGTACCCTCGTTCAGCATCAACGCGGACAGCAGCGGGGCTGGTGACGCACATTTTACTGATGCAATCCCTCCCTCCCAGCGCTTTCGAGTTGATGCGGGGGGGGGGGGGGTTGGTGGATCACGCTAGGAGCATCGCAATGTCGTCGTGAGAATGCGCCCCCCCCCCCCCACCCCTCGTCGCACCAAAAGCAGCGGGTCGAGGTGCTCCCACTGTCGGCAACGCGAGAGAACGCGTTGCTCGTGGCGCGCTCGCCGCGTCTCCTGCGTGGACTGCGAGACGCCCACACCAGCCGCGCGACAGCTCCCAGCTGGCGTCTCGGGCGGACGACCAAACCGAGGAGTCCTCCTCCTTGTGAGGTCTCGAGTGCGGCTGCTATGTTGGGAGAAAGCAGTTTATTATTGTTTCAAGTGGTCGAGGATGGTGCCTATATTTATATGGACCCGTCCACGACCTCGCCAGAGAGAGAGATGGAGTGAGGTTTATAGCCATTCTATGATCTGCCTTTGAAGATTGCAAATCACCCCGTTCCACGCATCGTAGGGTGAGTCCGCAGGGCTTAAACGCAGGGGCGAATGCAACGCGTGCATCCTGGATTGGTTTCCTTCGCGCAAGTCACGGGGGACGTTGCCAATTCTTAAAGTTGCCCGTTGCCGCAATTGTGGGGGGCACGCGTCAAGCTGTGTGAGCGGCAGGGGGGCTGCTCGTGTGTGGGCCCCAAGGCACCATCGACGGCTCCTCGTGAAGTTAAACGCAAGGCAGCGAAGCTTCTTGTAAACCGCCTCTTGTTGTTGAATTGTTGTTGGTTTTTGTTGTTGTTGTTGTTGGTACCGATCCCATGAAGTGCCCCCAATGAATGCACCGCCTGCTTACTCGCTCGGAGACCCACGCACGGCCGCTCACGCGCGCATTATGTTCGATGTGTCTCGGGTTTTTGTTTTTGTGTTTTACTGCGAGACACGGAAGTCTACGTTAAGTGCTGCGTGTGTGTGTTTTTTTGGAGGTTTACGGCGCAAAAGTCTCCGCTGCGTCGCACAATGCCACTCGCTTGGTGAACGTGTGTCGAGTGCCCGGAATAAACTGCGATTCAGACTGCCCGTGTTGCGGTTTCTCTCTCTCTCTCTGTCTGGTCTGGCGGGATCGACGCACGCGTGGAACCCAGTGTGGGGTTGGCGGATTAACGGCGTGAAGGAGAGGGTTGCAGTAGTACAGGGTGCTTCGAAAAAATGTGAACACTTACATAGGGGCTATCGTTTTTAATGGAAAAAGAACGTATGATACACTGTGACATGATAACAAATGTCATGTTAATAGCTTCAAAAAGTCTCCGCTTGTGCGCCATCGTTGTCAACGCGTGCCTGGAATCTTCTCCAGGTGGTCTCCAGAGCCCGGAGGCAATTTTCTCGTGGTATTGTTGCAAATTCTCTGAAGTGTTGCAATTGTTTTGAAGCACCCTGTACTACTCCGTAAGGTTTTTTCGCGGCCCTGCTGTGTGGCCACACAGCGTGTCGTTCATCTTCTTGGTTCTTTCGGTAAAGTCACGTAAAATGGAAATAATACAATAATAAAAATAAAAGATAATAAATTAATTCTCACGACGTTTTGGCCACAACGCAAGCAACCGTCCTCAGGTGAAGAACAGACGCTGTCTTTCTGACAGACATGTTCTTCACCTGAGGACGGCTGCTTGCGTTGTGGCCGAAACGTCGTGAGAATTATTTTATTATGTTTTATTTTTATTATTTTATTATTTCCATTCTACGTGACTTTACCGAAAGAACCAAGAAGATGAATCCCTGCAGTCACGAAAGCTTTAAATCGAGCGTGTCGTTCGTCACGATATCCGAAGTCTCGCTCCACGTGCTCGGATCGTTTCTTCTTCGGGAACTGAAGAAGTTCCCCGTTAGTGGAGCTAAACGTCGAACATCTTACCCAACAACACGCAGTAACAACCCAGGGGGGGTTGGTGGTTCACGCTCACATCAACCAGCGAAGCAACGCTCTCAATGCACGGGGCTACGGTGTGGTCAAGAGGTCGCAGTGCAGCGAGTGGACCCATCACCTGCCCGGGCGATTACTCGAATGCGCGGTGTTTGTCCAGGTACAGCGGTCAATATTTCCCACGTGGATTCAGAACGCTCATTGGCGGGATACAGACCGACCATCGCAACGCAGGACCCCCCACATCATGTAGACTCGTCCTGAGATTCGGCGAGGCTTTTCCCGGACTCGGCTTTCAGTATTCAACGTCACACGCTGCCGTTAAAATAAGCAGCGCATTTACTGTGATCTCAGCCGCCCCGTGGGTCTTACGTCGTTGAGATGGGGTCAAGCCGGATTGATAACTGCTCAAAGAAACGGCACCCCCATCTCACACGGCCATGCACGGAGCCGTCACACCTATTCATTATTTTTAAATCCTTTATATTATGTTAACTTGCTTGCTTGCTTGCGCGCTTACGACCGTGCAAATCTTTCGGTCGTTTTTTAACCCACTTCCCGTGATCCAATCGAGCTGCCATTTTGCACACAGTCTCGTTGTGCGTGACAATTTATTTTCGTGAATTTTTTTTCCCAAAATTTTACACTTTTTAGGAAAAAATAAATTATATTTTATTACCAATTGCTTAATGGTGGCAGGCAATCATCTGACCCATAGGTGACAGCCGTCTCAAGCCAGAGGACGAGAGGACTCTAGCCGCCACGCATATAAAGGATTTATAGTGAAAAACTTTGTTTTTACGGGTTAAATTTTTCATATTACCAAGGTAAGGCCCACTGAGCTGTATGGATCTTTTTTAGAAGCGACTTGGCCACCGCAAATGATCGCGCGACGAAATGGCTCGTCATGTGGACATTTACAGCGGCCACTATACTCTGAACGCGGTGGCGATGTTGATCCACGCCACCACGGGGAGAGAGACACCACAAACTCCGAATATAATGCAGGCGTCAGGGTCAGGTTCGAACTCACGGCCTTCTGTATACCAGGCGAGGTAGTTTACATCTTGCACCGTGTTACCCACTATTTCTTTACCACGGAGATCCTCAATATCAGAAGGGGGGCGGGGCTACAAGTACTTGCATGGTGTCTGTGTCCACGTTCGCATTGCAGAGAGACCAGTTCGAGAGACAAGTCGATCAGTGGCGCCGTCATCCACAAATGAAATTTAAAAAAGCTCCCCCATATCAAGACTCGCAATGCGTCGAGCAAGAAGAAGTGTCCGGTGCAGAGCACCTCGAGGTGGAAATCCTGCCCCGGCACGTCTCGCGGAACGTTGGACAAAGTAATGGATGGAGCCAACAACGAGGGGTGACAAAGTTCTCCTCGAGATAAATAAATAAAAAAGAAACGCAGCACAGCTGATGCCTCTGAACCACTGCTCACCCGTTAACGCCCAAACCACCGCAGTGCATTGCGGGCTGCCGCTGAACGCAACGCTGGGATTCTAAACTAAAACACAAACACAACATCAAGGGTAGCTTCGGTACCGTCACAACATTGCGCAACAGCTGTCAACACCGGTTAATAGGGGGGGGGGGACGGAAACGATTAATCATTGACTCAGAAGAAACACACAGCACTGCATTACATGCGGCTGCGTGCCCTTCACCGAGTTGGCCAGAGCGGCAGAGAGGGAGGGGGGTAAGCCGCGTGTTCACGGGAAGTTGGGGAGACGGATCGGATGATCACGGGGGCAGTGCGCTCGCGGTGTTCAGGGGACGCCTGTCAGGGCGGAGGGCGCACAAGGGCACAGGGGGGCGGCGGGGGTGGTGCTTGGTCAAAGCGAACGTCTCACGCACAATCAGCGATTGCCGGCCAAGGGCGTTCCAGAGACCGCGCGATTGAGGTGAAAGTAAGAAGCACTCGGAGTGAGCAGACCGTTGTTGACCTGAGCGCTGCTCAGCACCGCGTTTTCGGCAATGCGTGAAACACTTACAGCGACACCGCAATTGACACTCGATTGCGCACCAGCGGAACGAACGCGGCGGCTGACGGCCGTGTGACTCGGCGAGGAAATCGTCAGAGCAACACGAAGCAGCAGCAACAACGCAAAACAAATACCCAAAAGGCACATCGGGCACACATTTCAAGAAGCGCTTTTAAAATAAAATGTTTTTTTTGGGTGGAAAAAAATTATGTAAATAATTGAATTGTTAAACAATAAACAGGAAGCTTACCTGTGCTGAAACTGGATAATCTTAATGACAGTTGATGCCCTCAACCCGATCAGCAATTAATGCTGCAACAATAACAGCAGCAACAAGAAATCCCATCACATTAAATTTGGTGCTGCGCTTAATTTTACTCAAATCCACCTTTGAAAATTAAAACCATGGGTGCCATGCAACGGGCATTGCTCTCATAAGGCAGAGCGGGTGAGAAAGTGCTTCCATCGATAGCGTGGTCCAGATGTCTTGTGACCCCCAATTAATGAACAAGAGTTTTTCCCTTGTGAGTATTCATTTTTGTTTTCACACCCATTGGCATACAACAAAAATAAAGTTTTAGATAATTAAATGGGGGGGGGGGGGGTCACAAGATATCTGGATCACCTTGTACCGTGCGGACCAGAGGCCGCTATTAACCTATACTTATTTAACCAGGAAAGCCACACCGAGTCGTGAGAGGTGTTTTGATTCGGCTGGCTCCTGCATTGGAATGGTTGACCAACACCAATCACATTTCACGTCCTTCGTCTTTTAAGCTGCGGGAAGAAAACCCGACTTGGATATCGGGAATGGAATCCAGCAGCACACGTTCTTGCTGTCCGGCGCAAGTTGTTCGCAATTACGTCACCCTTGCGCCTGTCTCAATGGATCGTAGGAGATAATTCTGTGATATCTGCTCCCGTGGGTCATGATTTTCCACGGGGGGGGGCGGGGGGGGGGGTTACACTGCCGTGCGAGAGACACGTGTGAGACAGACACGTGTGCGCGAGGGACACGTGGGCACGTGTGCGCCAGGGACACGTGGGCACGTGTGCGCCAGGGAC